ATTTTTAGAACACAAACATATAAGTTCTTTTTATTTGATTTATTCAAATAAACATTAATCACTTCAGCGCGCGCAAATATCGTTTTCAAATTAAAGTTTCGTAAGATATGTTGATGAATTCCCGATGCTCGACTGTACGTCATTCGTGTATATATATGCGGTTTTTTGTTTGTTTTTTTTTGTTTGTTTTTTTGTTTTTTTTTGTTTTCTAAAGCTTTTTATTCTTTAATATGTTTTATGTATCTCATAATCTGTTTTGAAAATTTGAATTTTTATTACACATGGACTATCAAATTATGATGCGTTGCCCTAGAATTGAATAAACTTTCTAATTACACAATACGGGGTCATTCATTTGATTGAAGACTGATCTTTGCGTCTTTCTCTGAAATAATTATTTCCTTGTTAAAACATATTCGACCACATATTTCTGTCATTTAACTGTTCACTTTACTTCCGATTTTTGTTGTACCGAAACACATGTTTCTATTTGTGTTTTCTAATCAATTCGAATCAATAATCAGTTTAATAGGATTACCACCGCGTAAACGACTACTATAGGTACTTTGGTCATTTTTTTTACCCCAAATATTTGAATGTTTCTATTGGGATTAAAATGAGCGTAGTTAACTAAACAACTGGTTGTATAAATCCCTGACCTGTCTAATTCTAATTATGAGATTAGTGGATATATTAAGACTTTCACTACAAAATATTCCTAAACAAAAGAGCACTTGTTTAAATTTATTCCTATACAAATAAAAGATCAGAGTAGGGATCTGTCAATTGGCAGACATATTTTTAAAAGATACTTTTATGTTAAAAGTTTGATTAATGAATTATGTAAGATGAAAATATAAGTATTGCTTTTTTTTATTTTGCTAATGTAAAATGTAATATTGTGCTGAAATTTTGTCGGAGGGTCCTTACGGGTTTTGTAGTTAAATAGTTTTTTTCCCGGCGATAATGGTTCAAGAATATAATGTTTTCAAACTATATGTTCATCACCATCAGTGAATTTTTAGTTAAATGTATGCAAAATATTTACTAACAGCTATATGATATAGCGGTTTATGAGCGTTTTCCGCGTACAGCCTCCTAGGGTGTACTAATAAGTTAGTTTTCCTTAGTTATCACGCAAGCATGATCCATGTCTCTGATGTACGCGACAGTTTACCATTATTTGTCTTTAAAAAAATATTAAGGACTATTAATGGTTTATAACAACAAAAGAACATGCATGATATTGAGACTACGGTGTTGCAACGTTCTAGTTAATGACCCGTCATTGGAAAATTGTTATCAAAAATAATAAAGAATATTTGCCACCTAATTAAAGCATTTACTTATAAATTTTCATTTATGCTTTTTGTTAAAAAAATATTGATAAAGTTATTATGTAGAAGGGTTTTCATACCAGAACTATTTATGACCATCGTACGTATGACTAAACCTGATTACCGCCGCAGTATGACGTCACGGAGTAGTGATTTTGAAAAAAAAAACAAAAACAAAAATCAAGAATTTTTCAGAGAATTATTATCTTTGCAAATTGCAGATATGAAGTTAAAGAATGAAAATATTTTCATATTGTAAATGTCTGTGATGAACGATGAGTCAGCTTAAAAAAATCAAGGTTCTATTCTATTTTTTGACCTGATTACCGCGGCAGTAAGATTTGACGATGGGGAGGCATAGCCTCCCCAAAAAGGTGATGTAGCAAAATGGGTTAGTGAAATGCAACTCGTGTAATCAAGGCATTATGTTTAGAAGACAATATTTGCTATATTTTATTCTAAAATAGTCTGAAAGATGAAAAGTAGGCTAAGACGAGAAGCCCCATCGTCCGTCTTCTAACATCATTGTGTAGTACTCGCGATCACTGTTGCATGCTGCATAATAAGAGAGATGGGCACATGACAGTGTAATATTTTAAAATGACATTAATGTATATGCCAACTTACCTTCTATTTTCGATACAATCATATTTTATTCGTTTTGCTTTCATTTTACTTGATATGATATCAAGGGTTGGATCACCACATTTCGTTCTGAAAGAAGAATAATTGGATGTACAGCTGTGTGACTATCAAATATTATTTTCAGGACCTTTCGTCACATCATGTTCCTTATTTATGAAATCAAATTTAATAGCTGTACGGCCAAACCAGATATCAGTTAGGCCTGTTTCTATGTGTTGTTAGTTAATTATTTTCTGATTTTGTTTGTTTGTTTGTTTGTTTGTTTGGTTGGTTGGTTGGTTGGTTGGTTGAATAAAAATCTGGAAACAAAGTGAGCCCTCGGGAGCATAAACACAACAAAATTACATGGAAATTGCAGACTCGGTTTGATTGAGTCAGTAAATGAGGAATAATGAATAAGTGCAACATTGCAGCAACACTTCAAATGTCGACATTCCAACTTCACTGGCGGATTAAGACCTAAGAAGACCTTGCATTTTTTCAGGCACAAGCGAGCACCTAAGCTATCTGTATAACTCCCCCACATGCAATAATCTATAGGATCGGGCGTTTGTTTGGTAATGATATAACCGTCATTACAGTAAAATATCTACTTTCTACCGGGCAATTATTGAAACATTCCGCGTGCGCATGAATATCAATTATATGATCGCTAGGCAATTATATGATTACTAGGCCGTAACTTGCATTTTTTCATGCACACCAAATAGTTTTCGACTAAATTTGTTTTCAATTTACAATATGTAAAAGATATTTGAAATAACATTGAAAGAATTAAAAGATTGTAAATTACTTTTCAAACTCGACTTATTTAAAGATTTTTTTTTTTTTTGAAATTTGTAAAACATCTGAAATTGTAGTCAAAACGTTGCACAATCAACAAGTGTTTGAGATATTGTTGAAATCCAGCTTAGTCGGTTAAATTGCATTTGTAAAGATTTTTGTTATGCACTTTTCTGATAAAGATTAAAGGTACATTATGCCTCAGAAATCCATATTTTTTAATTCTTTAGAAATATAAGCGATGTGTTGAAATTGTTTTATTAATATATTTAATGTGTCGTGAAGATAGCAAAATGTAAATAAAGTAGTATTTTGGCTTCCATATAAAATCCTTATTCACTATATTTTTACCAATTGCCACAGAGCATCAGGTAGTTCATCTATATTGCAAATGTGTATTTTTTTAGAAACTGTAACAAGATACCAAAAATAGAATTGATAGCATTTCTGAGAATAATGAACCTTTAACAGAACAGAACACTAAAGATAATGGATGAAGAAACAAAATAAAAACATATCCAATATATATTTCGATCAGGTTGAAGAATACCGTCTCTATTAAAATGCGTGTTATTGATATAAACTATTGTACCTTTTGAAGAAATTTTCGAGTTAAATCCATGAAAAATTAACATTTATTGAATTTCATACAAGCATCTTATCATTCTGTTATGTACAGTGGCCATTTTTTTATTCCCTTCTATTTTTTTTTTTTAAATGAGCCAATACTATAACTCGTGTTGATAACAGTTGTCTAAAAAAGTTCATACGTACTGGCCATGAATAGGATGTTCGTTTAAAAGCAAAACTGTAGCTTTTGTAACAACGATTTCTCTCAAGCTGGGTAATTCGTACATAGCATTGTACCTGCAAATATGCAACATTTCATTTCTATTAAGTAAAGTCTTTGTTTTTATAATACCAACATAATATCATTTAGAAGTATATGCTTATATGAATTTAATGGTTTATTGTATTTTCTGATCGCAAGATCAGTAAATACATAGCTAACATCCACGGTCTAACACAAATTTTCCTAACAGATCTAACAACGCAAAGTAGTTCTCACTCAGAACTGCTTAAAAACCAGCAATTTAAAATAAAGAATAATTTTTAATGTATGCATTTAACGAATTACAGTGCATTAAAAGTTTAGAGTAGTCAATAGAAATATGAGGTTACAATCACAAATTTCGCGGATGAATATCTTTTTTACCCAATAAAAAATGTTCGGCTATTTCCGTAAAGCTTAATCAATGAAAATGCTATTTTTAGCTATGTCGATTACCGAATACTCCAGAGCGTAGTACACATAAATCTGACTGTCGAGTAGTGGAATATATACATGTCGTACTGTTTTGGCGAGAAGATTTTCGCTAAATTATTTTCATCAGTGTTAAACAACAGGTTTATAGTGAAGAAAATACCTCGAAATTAGTAAGGATTACAAACACGGAATGGAAATTCTCAATTTAGAATTACAATGTATTTGTTATTTTTCAAGCTACATATGTATTACTTCACCGTGGTGCAGAGGTAGCGCGCTCGTTTAGGGTGTGAGAGGCCCAAGGTTCAAGTCGAGGCAACTTTTTTTTTGAAGTGTCTTTTTTGAGGAAGTAGCCACGATATGCAAGGATAAAGTATGGCTGTCATAAAAAATGAAAATGATTTTTTGATGCAGCTCTAGTCATGCAAATATCCATATGTATCAATCTCAAACTGTTGGTTTGGTTTATACAGAATTTATTTTAGTTCGATTGTGTAGGAAGCTATAAGCTTATAGACACACTTTCGAATCCGTTCCTGGAACCAACCAGTACTGAGCAATGAGTGTAAAGTTTCTTGCTCAAGGAAACAAAGACTTGCCCCTGACAGGGTTTGAACCCATGCGGCTAGCGATCATTAGATTACTAGTCCGACACGTTAACCACTCGGCCATGCCGCCACTAATTTCCGTAAAGCTTAATCAATGAAAATGCTATTTTTAGCTATGTCGATTACCGAATACTCCAGAGCGTAGTACACATAAATCTGACTGTCGAGTAGTGGAATATATACATGTCTGGACTGTTATAGACGCAGTCGCTGCGTAAGATTAATTATAGTATATAAAAATAAACTTATATAGGAAAATACATACAGATAGTATGATTTAGATTGCAAAGATCAGAAAATACCACAGAGGTTGCAGCCCTTTGATATAATTATGCGATCGAAACATTTCATATTACATACGTGTTATTAGAAAATATAGGATCCGACGTTGCATTTAGCAAGATGAAAATTTCTCCACTCGCTCGGCTGCCATAGTTTATGGAAGCAGCAATCCAAAATGCCCTCTGCGCTCCCTGTGGACAGTCGGGCGTAGCTTCCCACCCAGGACAAAGTGTGCCCGGGGGAGACATACCTGTTGTATCACTCTCATTGCTGCACCACTGTGGTCCATTGGCAATATAACCTGAAAATGATTTGTTAATGAACATAATATGGAACAGAATATGTTTTACATCTTGGTGGGTACATTTTTGTTATTTTGACCTTTTCTTCGTTTTTATAACAAACATAATATTGTATGTTTTTTTGTAGATTTGTTAACATGCAACTGGTATTGATTGTCATTGTGTTGTTATCACGATAAATTATGCATTAATGTAGAAAAGAGAAGCAAATGTCTTGAGACAATTTTCCATCCAAGTGTCCTCCTCCTACCTCGTCTTTCCGCGCAACGAATGAGAAAAGGTAAGAACACATTTTTATTATTGTGTATTGAATTAAACATTTACCAGGCAATGTGTCATAGAGGGCGTAGAATCTCCTTCCGCGGTTACTGTATCGAATTACAAAAGGATACACATTTTCCCAAAACAGTGACTGCAATAAAGAAACATCGTTATTGTGCCAGCAAATAAAATTTCTAGTTTCAATACGAGACTTAAAAGATATACAAATATGAAATGATAAGATAATATAAAAAGGAATCCCCCGAGATGAAAATTGCAGACTGGATTGCGTAATTGTGTCTGTTTATGAAATAAAACCAAGAACATTTCTCACGACCCCTATCTAAAAACAGTATTTAATTTTCAACACATTAAATTATTGGAAACAATCAGAAAGTATCGCCTATGCTTAACACATGCAAATCCTAATCAGATTTGTAATGTTTATCAATTTTTATCGGTTTCAAGGCTAAATTTTAGCAAATGCATGCACACTTATAAAAAGTATTTTCAGTACTCCGATTTCAAATGTGTACACATTTACTTCCTGGACTAAAACTTGATATTGCATAATATATTGTATATATAAACATACTCATTGTCTTATTTTTGTAGTGTTTAAACAATCAAATATTAGGTGTATTGCATATAAGAGCATATTTCTTTAAACAGGTATTTTTGCACGTGCAAAGACAGCTTTTTTCCACAATACATATATGTACATCATGTTTAAAATGTGTTCTCTAGCGTAAAGACGTTATATGAAGGGAACAAAATTCTTTGTATATCACAAAAGGATATGAGATATGGGTCGCAATTAGGGTGTTATGTCGTTTTCGAGATTCCGCGCGTGCATTAATTCTTTGTAATTAAAGCTTACTTTGTTAAATATACGGGATTAAGTGGTTTTGCTAGCAGTAACATTGACAACTTTTCCTCCAAGGAGCAAGAATGGCGTCTAGCGGCAAGTTTGTGACAGAACGTCGCCAAACCGGTAGTACTATCAAGTGTTCTTTAGGTGACCCCGCCAAAATTCCGTATCAAATGTTTAGTATTCTCTATCTAGCCTCGTTTTAATTTTCCGAGTTCAAAAGATCCATATCAATTTCAAATGTTGACTTAGTGTTGTCTTAAAGTTAATGTGTTTCTTTTTTCTTAAGAATTGATCGTGTGAAATAAAATGTTTATTTTTCATTAATGAAAACCATACTGATTCTATTATCTAGACTCGTACACGTTTGTAAAACATATGAGCCGCGTCACGACAAAACAAACATAATGGGTTTGCGACCAGCATGGATCCAGACCAGCCTGCGCATCCGCGCAGTCTGATCATGATCCATGCTGTTCGCTATCAGTTTCTCTACTTGTTATAGGGTTTGTAAGCGAACAGCATGGATCCTGATCAGACTGCGCGGATGCGCAGGCTGGTCTGGATCCATGCTGGTCGCAAACCCATTATGTTGGTTTTGTCGTGACGCGGCTCATATATTAGACGTGAACCTAATAATATGTACCGGGGTATAATTATGTTCAGCGCACGTTGCATGTACATGTATTATTAACACAGCAAAAGTATTTTGTTTGTCAGTGAAACATGCATAAAATGGGGATGTTTCAAGAACAATGACCTTTATATAGGTTCTGTTAAACTTGTACATGTTCCCAAGATAAAAAGAACTTTTTATATATACTTCATCATGCTCAATTAAATTCCATACTCTCACCGGTTTTTACAGAGATATAGATTATCTATGTCTCTGGTTTTTATCACTCAGGAAATTTGGCAAGACAAACACTATACTTATTCATGATTGCTAAATTATATTAGTTCCACATACCTTATCCTTTGGAATACTGTGGTCAGTCAGAGTGAAATATCTATCTAGTCTGTGGTAATCTACGTTACATCGTGGCTGAAATTTAAACGCTTCCGAAAACGCTTCCCAGATTTCGGTGCAATTTCGAAATCTGCAAAAATGCAACATGTTAACCGATGATTGGTGATTAATAATGGAGCATGATTAATACCACCCTCGGTAACTCAGACATATTCGTTACGTCGTGTACACTTCATTAAGAATGATGAATGTATAGTTTCCATGGTTTCCGACGATGCATTAAGTCTTATTCGTATACTAGTACAATATATACAACATATACCACACAGTAAAAATTAAAAAAAGATTATGACCATTCTTTACAGAACTACAAATTATACCTATATGAATCAAAGCGCTGAAAGCACTGCTGGGGGCGCATTATGTTGATTGTATAGTGGTCTATTGTTACAAGCAGATGCCATTCCTACTTTCAAAGAAGAAAACACATTTTTACTCGATTATTCGATAAGAATAAGTAGAATTATCCTAGTCATCTGAACGTCGGCGTCTATCACCTCAATTTTTCCCGAAGTCCATTGACATATGGCATTAAAACTTTGCACACTTGATCCAGATCAGGCACTCCTATGTTAAAGATTGCCTATGGCTTCAAGATATTTTCGAATTCCATAGACATCTGGCTTTGAAATAAATTGAAATTTTATACATTTCTTTGCGAGCATACTAGCTAGGATTCTCTCCAATGCTTATATCTGTAGAATGGGTTTAAAAAAAAAAAATTTGGTCCTTTTGTGAACTTGAATATTTTAAATAACCAAGATTCTTCTATTGTCAAGCACTAAGCATATAGTTGAGTGTGCTGTCCTACCAACAGCTATTGTTTGCATACCTTGTAAAATATAACTCCTTCAAACTTTTGTTCAGTTATTATTATACTAACACAAGAACTGTCTGAGGACAGTAAGGCTCGACTATTCGAAAAAAGTTGTCACAAGGGTGTTTATATTATACTAACACAAGAACTGTCCAAGGACAGTAAGGCTCGACTATTCGAAAAAAGTTGTCACAAGGGTGTTAATTGAGTATAAAAATGCTTACCTATGAATACATAAAACTGACCGAAAATGTACAAAGGCTTGGATTAAGATGTTTTATCAAGTAAATCACTGCTTTATTATCATGAATGCATAAAATTGTCCCAAAAAAGGCACAAACGCTTCAGTAGTTATGGAGATAACATGCTTACAAGCAAAACTTTACCATTAATTTCTAAGTTGAAAAAGGGGAGAAAAATCAGCCTAAATGCTAGATAAAATAATGGATCTTGGTCAGTAACCTACATGTACAATTATGACCCTAAATGCATGTGAAGTTTTAATATTGTAGGCAGAGTTATTCAACTTGTCAATCTGATGTACATTGTTACTATAAATAACTATTGTAAGTTTCAATTGAATATCTCGAGCAATAATCGAGATATTTGACTTTATAATAAACTTTAACCAACGCAGACGCGGACGCTTGGTTACTACAATAGCTCTCATATTTTTCAAATAATCGAGCTAAAAACCACGAAGTCATGGTTTAGACCATATAGTTATTCCATATGTAAATATATATGTATATATCATGGAAAACATTTCAAGATAATACAATGGATTGTAGTGTATAACACGAAAATCAGTGTACGTTAACTGTATTTATTCCAATAATCATACAAACATCTGTAAATAACTGGAACAACATATTTCTTAAATACAAGAGCGATCAGTAATCACATGTGTCGCCTCATGATGGACAATTTCATGTTGGGTCAAATTTTGTGACAGACGGACAGTGCACAACTAGTCTTGGTACTGATCATTCCTGTAAAGTTTGGATAAAATTGCACCAGTAGTTAATGAGGAGTAGTCCGGACAAGGTTTAGTGTATCTGGCAACACACAGAAAAAAACACCTTTTTATCAAAGGGCCATAACTCGGCCAAAAATCATTTAACCCGAAAACCCGTGCAATATGCGCAAGGACTGGAGCTACAGATCAATCCTGTAAAGTTTCATTGAAATTGCATTAGTGGTATAAGAGAAGTAGTCCAGACAAACTTTAAAATTAAAAATTATTAAAGGGCCATAACTCTGACAAAAATCAATGAACCGGAAAATGCTGACAATATGCACAACTATACTTGGTACTGATCATTCCTGTAAAGTTTGGATGAAATTGCACCAGTAGTTTATGAGGAGTAGTCCGGACAAGTTTTGTGACGGACAGACGGACAGACAGACGACAGAGGCGACACAAAAACCATACAAAAAAAACACAAAAAAACTGATGATGACAGAACGGGGTATCACTTTATGCCTATATAATTTTTTTGCTCAAGTGATTTTTTTTCCGAAGAGCTACATGTGAAATTACTGCCAAATATACATAGGTAAAAACTATTTCAAAGCTGCATGCATTCATATAAATTTATTTTAAAAAATTCAAACTTGATTGAATAAAAAAAAAAATTCAAGGATAGCCCAAACTTGTTAATTATAAAAATATACATATACAGAATATTATGTTGTAGTAGCTCTCTGGGGCTTTGTATTTTGCTACGAGCAGCGGTGGGAAATTGATATCTTGCGAGACCAAAGGGCGAGCTAGATATCAATTTTCCAACATTGCAAGTAGAAAAATGCATAGCCTCAGAAAGCTACTACAACATAATTTTCCTTTTATAATATACCTTTTCGTTTGAAGTATAAATGATTTTCATTATACTACACTTATATAAGAAATTTCAGAAAAAGAAATGTAGCTGTCAAGAAATAAATTATGACTGACAGATGAATACCTAATTTGTGCAAAACCAGCCGCACCTTTTATTATTTTGGTTGCCGTATCCATATACTACGTTATACACAGCTAAGATCAGAACCAACGTCAAAAATAGTCCAGTCCTTTCATATATGGTACTGTATTTGTCTCTAACATAATACAGAATTTTCTAACCGTTGAAGCCTATTTGCGCTTCAAGATTATCCTGTGTTTCAGGAAGAAAATTTATAGGTATATAATAAATGCTGTCATTGACATTTCTTATGTTTATATTTATTATATGTATTTCTTGCAATCCTATTTATAGCTACAAATTCTATGAATTAAAATAGAAAATGAAGATAGCATGCAAACGGTGTTGATATTGTGTGATAAAAATTTAAAGATCATTGGAAATCATCAGAGTAACCGAATACTCGATCTGAAAAATGACCGAGTACTCGAGTATTGATTTTAGTATTTGTTGCCATCCCTAAAAAAATAAAGTACTTGACAAGATCAACTAACATCTAAATAAAAAAACTTTGAAAACAGAATTAATTATTTTGAAAAATTCACTCTGAGCTGTATTATTTAAAATGGGTGTTCAAACACATTGAAAACATTGATAAGTCATCTCATGTTCTTGGTGATGAAGTGGTGCTTCAATATAGTTATCACTGCAATCTATCTTCCCTCATAACTCCTACTATTACTGTATCTGTCAAACAAGCATCTCTGTTTTCTGAAATAGAGTTTTGAAAAAGTTTATTGCTGACCGAGATATTCCATACTTGTATGTTAACTTGAAAGTTCAAAATTTTTCCAACATTCAGGAAAGATAAGTTTGTCTAAAATCATTGAACCTCGACCAAATTCAAACTTAAACTGCTTATTCCTAAGATGTATCTATATTATTTTCAAAGTTAAAGGGACATAACTCTGCCAAAAAATCATCAAACCATGACCAAATTCCAACTTGACCTGCCCATTCCTTTGACATATCCATATGTCAAATTTAAGTTGAATATGTAACACTGTTGGGTAGATAATGAACAGAAACTGTAAATTTCATATTATTTTCAAAGTGAAAGGGGCATTACTCTGCCAAAAATCATTGAACCATGACCAAATTCGAACTTGGCCTGGGCATTCCAAAAACATATCCATATGTCAAATTTGAGTTGAATGTGTTGTACCATTGGGGAGATAATAAACAGAAACTGAAAATTTCATATTACTTTCAAAGTGAAAGGGGCATAACTCTGCCAAAAATCATTGCACCATGACCAAATTCAAACTTGACCTGTATTTTTTTCATGACATATCCATATGAATGTGTTGTACCTTAGGGGAGATAATGAACGGAAACTGAAAATTTCATATTATTTTCGAAGTAAAAGGGGCATAACTCTGCCAAAAATCATTGAACTATGACCAAATTGGAACTTGACCTGTGTTTTCTCATGACATATCCATATGTCAAGTTTGAGTTGAATGTGTTGTACCGTTGGGGAGATTATGAACGGAAACTGAAAATTTCATATTATTTTCGAAGTAAAAGGGGCATAACTCTGCCAAAAATCATCGAACCATGACCAAATTCGAACTTGACCTGTATTTTCTCATGACATATCCATATGTCAAGTTTGAGTTGAATAAGTTGTATCATTGGGGAGATAATGAACGGAAACTGAAATTTCATATTATTTTCAAAGTAAAAGGGGCATAACTCTGCCAAAAATCATCGAACCATGACCAAATTCGAACCTGACCTGTATTTTCTCATGACATATCTATATGTCAAATTTGAGTTGAATGTGTGCAACCGTTCTTAAGATAATGAACGGAAACTGATGATGACGGAATGACAGAATGACGGAAGGATGGAAGGACGGAACAGGGTAACACTATATGCCCCGGCCATTACATGGCGGGGGCATAAAAATGCGCGACCAATGCCAGAGCTCAACCCCTCTGTGCATTATTTCACAAACGAGCATCTGAGTAGAACCACCGCCTTTTTTAAAAGCTAGCTGGATTGCTTTCTCATATTAAAGAATCCATATTAAATATAATAGAACATTGATAATTGCTACACAGTCTCTTTGTAAACATAAAATAAGTATGTTTTGTGTTTACATAAAGTAGCTATGTATTAAATGTTAAAACACCACACGCTATAGGTGGTCACAATATAAATATATAGTGTTGTTAGGAAACTGACAGTTTTTTTAAGAAAGGACTCGTAAGAAGGTCGGAACATGGCTTCCAATGCATAGTTAATTCATTATTTCATTCAAATTAGACATATTCAAAAAGAATTGCATAGAATTCAATAAATTTTCATGATTAAAATATTTTACAGATGAGCATAGTATATCTTTAAAGGTAAGTGGTTTAGGTACATTACTTTGACTATGGACACCCCAATTAAATCTATTTATTTGCTTAGTAACACAACTTTTCAAAGTCATATAAATTTGTAAATGTGAGTGATTCTGATAATCTATATACAGTTAAGTCAAGATGAGATGATTAGATTTTACTGACTGCTTACTACATGAAGTCACTATTTCAATGTCAAATGCCTTGAGGTTTTTTTGTTTTGTTTTGGGTTTTATGTCACATGGACACAGTATAGGTCATATCGCGACGTTCCAGCTTTACTGGTGGAGGAAGACCTCAGGTGCCCTTCCGTGCATTATTTCAGGCACGAACAGGCACCTGAGTAGAACCACCGACGTTCCGTAAGCTAGCTGGATAGCGTCCTCACATGAAAGAATCCAAAGTCCCTGTCAGGACTCGAACCCACAGCGGTGAGGGGCTGCCTTGAGGTGAAAGGAATGAAAACTTGAATTTCAAAATACAATTTAAGTGAATTACATGTCACAAATGAGCCGTGTCATAACAAAACCAACATAATGGGCTTGCGACCAGCATGGATCCAGACCAGCTTGCGCATCCGCGCAGTCTGATCAGGATCCATGCTGTTCGCTTACAAACCCTTTTACAAGTAGAGAAACTGATAGCGAACAGTATGGATCCTGATCAGACTGCGCGGATGCTCAGGCTGGTCTGGATCCATGCTGGTCGCAAACCCATTATGTTGGTTTTGTCATGACACGGCTAAAATGTTTTTGCTATCGACTTTTGTTCCTAAATTAACAACAGATTGCATGATGAAATGATATTGAAATAATTAATATACATTTGGCTCTTAGTGCCAAGCTTACTGATTTTAAATAAGCCTTGAGTCCGGTGTTGGCCTTTAAACATGTCAAACATTTTAGAAAGTATTTATTAAGGAAAAGTGTATACAAATAATCATGTACCTCTTCATTATATGCCCATGACATTGAAAAAACATTGTGTCATATGTTTACTTCAAGGTTAGTCACATTGACAGTATCACATTTTAGACTTTATCTCTCTTGATGCATTCTCAAAATGGGTCCTCTTAATTTCACATTCATCAATCTGACAAAAACCTCCTGAAAAAGAAAAGTTAGAAACATATGCCACTAATTATGTCAGTTTAAATGTCAAATAAATACTTTGAGAAACTATTTGGTCAAAATTGTAAATGTACAAAGATTTTCAAACCATGAACATTTCCTTTTTAACTTTCTAACATATATAATTTAATTATTATAATGTATGGTCTTACACTCTTACTTGAAGAAAATGTTTGCCCGGAACTGAACACTACCAATTTACCATCTTTTTAGTACCAATGAAAATAGATAGTAAAGGCCTTAATCTTTTTATTCTAAAATAACAGTTAAATAACATCTTAAGAAATTATGACTAATAAGCATGTTAAAAAAGTGAGTAGAGGCAATTTTTTGAGTCATTCCAAACAGAACTTATGTAGAAATGACTGACCAATACAGTTAATTCATATGTACTATTGAGCAAATGTTATTTACACAATTTATGGAAATTGTAACTAATTATGAATTCAATATTCATCACTCCACTTAGTGTGAAATAATTTATTCAAAAGACTTGCATTCAAGTATGATATAAAATGTATAAAGGTTTATGGTCAGAATAGTAAGATTCTAGTGTACCAAATTTTTGCACTTTATTCATAGGCAAGCCGCAATAATTATGATCAAGACAGCTGCCATAATCAGTAGTTACTGAATCAATGAGTTGAACTGAACTGAGTACTTCCTGTATAATTTTAGTATTTATAGTCGAAACACTCCTTTTTAAAGGCATATATAAGGGTAAGTGGAATGTTGCATGTCCAGATATGATTGACTAACAATTGTAAAAGTGAGTAATAATTGTCGGAATAGCTCAATCGGTAGAGAACATAGCTCAAGGTTACCAGATTTCAAAAAAGTTTTTATTAATTTTGTTCTGACATGTCAGGAACAACTTGATATTTAAATGTGATTTTTATTTGATTGATTTTTGTTACCTATCTTACTTTTTCATTGAAGTATCTTTATCTTCTTAACAAGAGCTGTCGGTAAGACAGCAACACTCGACTATTCTTAGTGCTTGATAGTAAAAAAAATGCTTGATACAGTTACCTCCTCCTGTTTACAGGTTGGGGTCATGATGTTGAACAAGTGTGCAAAGTTTCAAAGCCATATGTAAATGGACTTTGAAAATATTTGAACTATTACAAAAACTTTAACGTAAATTCTAAGTCGAAAAAGGGGCATAATTCTGTCAAAATGCTTGATACAGTTACCTCCTCCTGTCTACAGGTTGGGGTCATGATGGTGAACAAGTGTGCAAAGTTTCAAAGCCATATGTCTATGGACTTTGAAAATATTTGAACTATTACAAAAACTTTAACGTAAATTCTAAGTCGAAAAAGGGGCATAATTCTGTCAAAATGCTTGATAGAGTTACCTCCTCCTGTCTACAGGTTGGGGTCATGATTGTGAACAAGTGTGCAAAGTTTCAAAGCCATATGTCTATGGACTTTGAAAATATTTGAACTATTACAAAAACTTTAACGTAAATTCTAAAGTGAAAAAGGGGCATAATTCTGTCAAAATGCTTGATACAGTTACCTCCTGCTGTCTACAGGTTGGGGTCATGATGGTGAACAAGTGTGCAAAGTTTCAAAGCCATATGTCAATGGACTTTGAAAATATTTGAACTATTACAAAAACTTTAACATAAGTGTTTACGCAGACGCCGACGCTCGGGTGACTGCAATAGCTCTACTTATTCTTATCGAATAGTCGAGCTAAAAATTATGCCCAAATCTCATTTCTTTCTCTTTTTTTTTTAACTTCTTTTCATGAATTTATGAATATTTTCAACAGATTTTGAAAGAATCAAAATACAACATTGTTAAGCATATATAACTGTTGTCTGGAAATAAGTTATGTTTCATCAAAAATAAACTTGAATAGAAAATAGAACAGTTTCCACCTGTAGTTTGGAACCCACTAACTGAATTCACTTTTATATCAATATTATGCAGTCTTAAACTTACTTCACTACTAAGTCAAATGATTTATTATCTCATACAATGTAATTACATGTAGTATAAGTTTTATGGTAATAATGTGGTTAATCACTTGCAGTTAATCAAGGCTCGACAAATCCACTTGTCCGCTCATAAATGATAAATACGAGTAAAAATGACTCCGGACAAGTTAATCTCCCAGAAATGCCCGTCCTGCAGGACGTGTGAAATTTCTAGCATAAATAAATCAAATTTCTATTCAATTCTTTTGAAACCATTTTTCAAGTTTCACTAGTAAGACAGAGCACAAAATAATTCCTGTGTGTTTGATGGACAAAACTGATGTTGATTTGTTGAATGCAACGCTTAATTCTGTCTGATTCTATTTTGTAAAAACTTACTAAAAGCTCGTGCTGCGATTCCATTATGTTCCGAAAAATATTTTAAAATGTCACAATGCAATATTTGGCAACTGTTTGACCAGAAAGGAATAAGTTAAACAGTGTCTTCAAAAAAGAAAAATTGTCTTCAAAAAAGAAAAATGAGTCAGAACATGTAGGAAATCTATATTTTTTAAGCATTGTTGTTTTTGTTTTCCGTTTTTCAATCCCTGATATATTATTTGTAGTATTTGTAACTATTATCTATTCTATTTGTAATAAGCCAGCATTTTACCCTTATAAAACTATTTATGTTCCCAACAAAAAAGACAGCAAATTTTCAAATGTTTTATTTTTGAAGTCCCAAAATTACTGTCAAAATTCCCATCCAAAATTGGCATATATAAAATGGATGATTTCATATTGATAAGTGATATGTGATAAAAACCAAGTGTAACTACATCTGACAGAGCAATATTTGTACCTTAAGTTCATTTTATACTTCTGAACATTATTAATGTACATGTACTCATTTTTTTCACTCCAATTGGAAAATAAATATATTATGCATGGTCAGGGTCTTTCAAATTTGAAAGACCCTGGCATGGTTTAACTTTAAATGTGTATAAATATTATGCATAATTCTCATGTCTCCCTGGATAAAATTCAAAATTAACCATGTGGCATGAATACCTGTCAGTTATGTAGTATCAATTTGAGTCAAAACGCATTTTCCAAAAAAAATTGTACTGGTAGCGTTTAGATGTTATCCGGAACTAAACAAATGTCAGGGTTTTTTATGCTAATCCCCCAGTGTATATCTAGCTTTAAAATTAATTAATGGAAGTAGCTAGCCGTACGGGCCCGTAGGGCTAGCCAAAAGTTCTCGCCGTACGTGAGTCACGTACAACTAGCCTGGACACACTGTATTGGCTAGCCATACGGCACTTTTCAAAATTATATAGAAGTCGAAAATGCATATGTTATTTTGGGTCCTTAAACGACGATTTTAATCAATCTTCTCATTTGTCCTGGTGTGTTCACTTTAATAAAGATGCTCCGCAATTTTGCAAAAAAAAAAAAAAAAAAAAATGTATACGAGTAAGCGTTGTATAATCTATCTTAATAAGATTAAGTGTCAAAGTTTCTTGTTATAACGTCCTTAATGTTCACGCTTAAATGATTTGTATGAAAGATGAATTGTTAAAACGTTAATTAAATTAAGCACATGGATCGAATAAATAATGATCGGAGGGGAATAAATAAATAAATAAATAAAAAGAAAGTAAAAAAACGGTGATAAGGAAAAATAATTTAATAACGCAAACTTTCCTTAATGATGGACGATGGACAAACTTCTATACCGTCGGTAACTGACGCAATTATCAGAGCCCAACAACAATTATTTTCCGTGTTTTTTTTGTTTGTTTGTTTTTTTTTTTTCAATTTAAAAATTACACTTAATGAAACCAAAAAGGATTATTATCAAACTTTTGTAAACTGTTTCAATTGATGTTATTTAACTGCAACCAAACGCTATTTTTTCGATGACAAAGTACATTTTTTACTGTAGCCAACACGTCGATTAATCTCTAAAAAGTAAACATTCTTGACTAAAATCCTCGCTTAAAGTCATAATTAACATATGCACTTTCGCCTTCCATATATTTTTGAAAAGTGCCGTACGGCTAGCCAATACATTGTGTCCTGGCTAGTCGTACGTGACTCACGTACGGCTAGAACTTTTGGCTAGCCGTACCGGCCCGTACGGCTAGCCACTTCCTTAATTAATTGCATGGAAAAATGCTCTAAAAGTGCCCGGTTGATGGCCCCGATCCCACGGTGCATATCCATATCGGTACCCTCTTTGGGAAATCAACTGAAACGGTACCCTATTTGCAGATGCACAGGTCATTATCTGCTTAAAACAAACCAGCAATGGATAACAATCCAGTAAAATTTCATTGTAATAAGGAAAAGAGGTATGACACTTAGAAAACATGTAAACCATGGAACACTAGAATGTTTTATTTATGTGCTGATATGCCATGTGTCCGTCTTTCATGCACTGCAACTTCACAATAAGCTACAAAAAATGACATGTCTTGCCTCTTCCATTACCTCGACCACGGACTTTAAATTCGTGCCTCGACATACTTTTTTGGCTGCAATGAGGTGATGGACAAGGCAAGACATGTCGATTTTTTGTAGCTTAATTATGAAGTTTTTGCAGTACATGAAAAAAGGGCAAATTCACTTTATTATTATAAAACATCGTATCAAGAAAAATGTATAAAAAAATAATTAATTTGTAAAATATATGTCATAACCGGTTTTTATAAGTCATATCCGCGGATATCCGGTATTAAGACATACCGCACGATTTGACGACGATTTCGCCACTTATAAAAACAAGCAAAGTTATTCAACATTTAGGTAAAAGGGAGATAAGGTTTTTGTAATAAAAAAACTTACAACTCGTTTTAACACGTGGAACTTCTATATTAACAGCAAAACTTCTCAATCTTTCACGGATGAACTTGTAAACAATAGCGATTGCTAGGGCGAAAATAGTTCGTATTCATACGCATGCAATGTTTTTCTTAAATTTACACTTATAAAGCATTTGGCCCTATAAGCTTTAAAGTTAGCTGATCTGAAATCCGTATTCCATTACTTGCTAAATTTTTGAGTTCTATGACACTTAATTAACTTTTGACAACATGTAATTTGTACTATATTTATGCAAGTACTTTGGCTATGTCTGACCGCTGGCGTAGTAATATTAAAATCGCGTAAAGCAAAAATATACATACAATTTTAAAAGACGATTGCAAAATTAAGTACATAATTGGCCAGTCAATTCTAAAATAGATAGGGAACTATGATTTTGGGAGTTACTGCGAAGTTTTGGAACTATTTTGCTTAGCGTAGGTAGGTGACTAATTGTGTTCAAATCATAGTAAATCTGAATTTGTCGTTATTCCATTGGGGGCGCATTGCGCATGCGCCCCCAAAAAATTATCTCACCGGCAAACTGTATATAATAAAAGTAATGAATTAAATTATGAGACAACAATGTTTACTCCTTAAATACGATTTTTTCCATTGAATTTCATCGCCAAATAATGTTTGTATTTCTTTAAATTAAACAATATTTGTTCAGTAAACAGAAGGGAATGTTCAACGCAAACAGATACGATGAAAAGTCAATACATTTCATGCATATTATGTTAAAATAATGAGAAAATAATGAAAACTTACCCTTCTGTACAGAAGATAGGCTGATTGATATTTTGTTGGTATATCTCGCACTGACCTATAATCACCTCTCGTAAATTATCTGTCGCCATTTCAAATTGACGACATGGTTGCTGAGAATTTGCAAAATGCAAAAACGCAACTGTAGGCACAAACACATACACGAACATTTTCATCTTCAATCCGATTGTAAAATTTTAATGCGTTTCACTTCAGATATCTGTATATGTTGACCCTGGTGTCTTTCAAATTCTTCATTTGACACGTACGATATCTTAATATCAAAAAAGCATAAATTACACAGCATTAATTTTTGATTAACTACCTAGTAATGTGTGCACATTTAATTCAGGGTTTATTATAAAGCATAATGAGAACATTTGCAAACACACATTTAAACTTTGAGCATTTCTGTCTTGAAATTAGCAATCCTTATCAGAGATTTATAGTTTCTTTCTCGGGTCTTGTTTGCGTGTAATGATAACATACAATACTATATAATCCATGTACACAGTCGTTTTACCTGTAACGTTGCTATATATACTTTACCGGTCGAATATATTTGAAATGTTTTGGGTATATTTTTGGTAGCTAATTTGTTTACAAATACAGTTGAGTTCACACTAAAGGTTTCACAAAGTGCACTCGGAGTGCATTAGATGTGCTCTTTTAGTGCACTTCAATGTGCACTTGATGTGCACTAGACCCGTAATATGTATATAAGCTGTACTAGCAATTAGACTTTTACACACAAAAAATAGATATTTGTATAATACTTATTCATTACAAAAGTTGTGTGTATTAGGTGCTGTAAAATATAGTGTAAAATATTAACAGCCACAGAGACATTGACTTTAGAGACCTAAACCCCGATGCAAGTTACACCATATATCAAATTACTAAGGTTCTGTTTAATATATATCGAACCGGGTGATGCTCCCCGAATATGTTTCGCACACAGTCACAAAGAGTAGTTTCTTGTTGATATCTGTTGTTGTTTCAGAGTTATGTCACGGCTCTTCTGCATTGCACTTCTACTCAGTGAGATCTATCTACCTTCTAAGTTATTTGTTGATACTTCTTGTGGTTTCCGAGTTATGTCCCGGACACAGTTAACAATGTAAAAATGAAAAAGGGCAATAATTTCAAAATAAAGCAAGGCAGCCTTAGGGCGCTTTTGTACTGCATTAATGAGATCTATTTACACTATTTTTTGTTGATATATCTTGTAGTTTCAGAGTTATGTCCTGACAAGAAAAGCGGACGGACGGACAAAGCGGCGGCTATATGCTCTACCTACGGGGAGAAGTTACTTGATTTTACTTTGTTTGAACTAAAAACCGTTCTTCAAAAATTATTTATTTTAAATTTGCCTTTAAAGGACAATTTAAATTGAAGTATTCCTGGATGTGAACATTATACAAATGCACTTACACAGTAATATATATGAACCATTATGGCATAAAACACACTGCATAACCCAAGAAAATATAAAATTTCACAGAAAATTTACATATAAAGGAGCACAATTCTGAGTTGATTGAATAAAAAATCAAATTTAAAATGTTTTGATACAACATGACGTTTCACGTTGAAATTTTCACCATTTTCATTGCTAGGGGTGTGAACAGTAGTTTACGCTTTATAGTACCGTCCATGGCCTATCAAAGCAAGCAAGCCTACAACATTTATTTTTGCCGTTTTGGGCGATGCGTAGCCTGGACTTTATTTTCCTCTTTTTTTACATGTCAAATACGCTAATACAGATCACAACAAATTTTCTTAGGGACAGGCAGATACACTCCGAATGCTGCAGTTGCTGGGGATATGGTCTGTACTAGGAACCTATCTTTAAAATGTGTGGCGAGTACTTGGTGTCGATTTGCAAGTATGAACAATATGAGAATAAATTAATGTGAAGTACATAATGTACTGTTCCAAGCAGGCAGGTAGAACTTGTAAGAACTTGTATTTTAGAGTAAAAGTAATTTTAGAGAAATATAGATCTAGCTGTGGTGAATTTAGTTCTTAATAATGTTTTAAATAAACTATGTTTGGTTAAAAAGCTTACCAGTTGATATCTGAACGAGTATTTTGATGAGTGGATTGAGTCACTACATACAATAAATAGTAGTTCTTGGCAAGGTTGGAATAATTTGGGGAATAAGAACCTTTAAGTTTAGTTAAGAAGTAACTGCTATAATGAACTGCATTTGCAAAATTTCGATGAGGGGTAGCCCGCATTAGACTTGAAACTCGCATATTTGAAAGGATCGCTTTCACCCAAAGAATTTGTCCGATCTGTAAAACTGCCATTGGAGAAACGCGTTATTTTATATTGTCCAAGGTATGAGGATATTAGGAAAGATTTGTTTGCCAAAGCAGAAGCTGTAAATGAGCAATTTTAAGGCTGTCTGATGACAATAAACTGTCGTTCATTTTTTTCAATACTGAAATTGTAAAGTGTGCTGCAAAATCCTGCTTCAAAATTATCAAAAATAGAACTAATTGGTTACATTCCTGAGAACAGTGTCTTATAATGTTACTTTAAATTATTAAAGACTTAACTCAACAAATTGAGGGTTTTACATTATGTTACTGAGAAATGTAACTAATCAGTGTATTTATAAGGATTATAGAGATGGTAATATTTTAATACTTTTAATCTAGGATATTTGTTCATAACTCACGAGGTCTACAAACTCACGGTCAATGATTAGTAACTGATTACTCAATTTTGATTTATAGGCAAAGACATTATATGTACAGTTAATTAAACTTGAACTATGTTTTATTTTATTTATAAAGGTCTTCTTATCTTTTCAATGATGCGAAATAATTTTATCCAGAAAATAATTTTATAGGTTAAGAATATATTGTTAATAGGTCTATTTTTCATATGGTTTTAATTAAGCGAACATATTAACTAGGGTTTTTACTATAAAGCAATTTTTCCAGAAATTCTTTTAAATAGTTTCTTGTTATATGCATATGAAGAGAAAGTTGGAAATCCTTGCAGAGTTGCCTCCCTTCCATTATGTTTTTATAGATAGAAAGGCCGTACACAAACAACTTTTAATTTGTAAAATTTTGTACATATAATTGAATTGTTTTATGTTGTTAGGTATGGATGAGACCCAAATAAAGATTATATATATACTTGTATATACTTTTTATTGTATTTTTTAATTGTAACACCTTTATTTTCGATCCTATTTTCACATCTGTCAAAATAATCATATTTTCTGCTGTTGAAAATAACATACCCTGCTGTCATATCTAATCATAAATGATTTAATAATCTCATATTGTTAACAATAACTACATAGATTCACGTATCTTCTGCAGAGAAGTGTATAGGTATAATTCTTTCTTTATCATTATCTTTGTTTATCTTTGGAGCTTTAAGTGTCAGTATTCCGCTTGTTGAAAGTGATGACGTAACTTCATTTGGGTCAACATCCTGCAAAACATAAAGTATATCAACCTAATAAAGCTGTATAATTGTCTTGTAAGCCACTTAAACTAATACTGTTCACTACGTTGACTTACAGTCTTTCTTTTCTACCTCTTTTATATAATGATCATTTATTATTACACTCACAACGATAAAATATGCTTAAGAGTATTTGCCTTATAACAAATTTATCTTTATTTATTTCATACAAGCACAGATAGAGTTCAAAACAAATCCTGCAACACCTACCTAAAATAGTATAGTGTGCGAAAGTTTGATAGTTCTAGATATTATGGAAATATGGTACAAGTTGCTACCAAAACATTTACGCTGATGGACATTGATTCAATAAATTGATTCAAGGAAAGAAAACACTGAAGAGCTATCAACCAAAATTGTACCTTAGGGAGAATGTATTGTCTTTTAAATTCTCTCTCAACTAAACCATTGACGTCAGCTCTTTCTGAATGTTTGGCATGAACAACAACTCTACTGTTCTTGGTTTTTAACGTGATTTCGTCAGGACTGAAGTTAGATATATCCAGTGTGATCCGGAATTCGTCATCCGAGTTATAAACCTGCACAAAAAGAAAACACATACTTACGCTTATTTTAAAACCAACTGTAAAACTGCTAATCATGTCCAAAATGCAATTGATTTACTTTGTATTAAATATAATTCACACAGGAAAAATGCAATTTTAGTATAAGTCATACATTTACATGGGCAAAACAATTGTCAATATGCAAACATTTACAAGAATACATGTAATTTTCGAACCTCTTCGCCGCTTACTCTTACTGGAAGCCAGTACTGTTTGTTTGAAGAAAGGTTAGATGTCATTTGCTGGTCCACATTACCGACAATCGCCGATGTACCTGGTAAATGTGATACTGTTGTCATGCTACTTGTAGCCGCCTCAGGTGAACCTATTGCCACTTCCGGAGCTACAGTTCCCTTGAAAAAGAAATAAGAAATATTTCACAGCAATATCAATGTGAACCTTGATCGATTTAAAGATGAAAATGTGATACTTTATGCCAATGTCATTGATAAAAAAGTTTACCTTTGGTAGTAATGGGCCTGTAGGCACAATGTATAAACCAGACCTTCCCAAAAGGTTCCGGAGATCAGCTGGTTTTATATCATCCGGAAGTGGATCTAGCGTTTTCCCTTGGTTACATTTCATGTACACAAAATTACGAACTCTTGGGAAAAGTGTCAAAATGTGTCGCCGCAAATCGTCGGGCGTCCATGTAAGGGGAAGTTTAGAGGATGACCGAAGACCACCCGCTAGCTCCGACTTGGGAACACCTGAAATTAACATAAATCAACTGAACCATTTAACAAGAATTACTGGAAGATAACGACTCAACGGTCTCTCCATTCGACAGTGAAAATGTATGGACCCTAATTCAAATATTTTTTTTCACTTTTCGGCATTTATCTTTCAGGAACTTAAAATTGATAATCATCTACTTATAAGATATATAATCAGTTCTTTTGTGAACAATGCCCAGCAAAATAAGGTAGGATAATGTTGCATAAAATGAAAAAACAAATTTCCTCCCCCTTAGTTTATAAATCTACTGTTAAAGTTTACCCAGTCGATTTTTCCGGCTCAAACATGTTATCTTCACACACGCTTCCTTATACGGTCGCCCACGTGTTCTTTTGGCGGGAACTGCTATACTGGGTGACGTACTAGAAGGGGATAATGGATCCTCTATTGTTCTCTTTAGTGGTGGATATTCGAGTACTCGGAAAGAGTCTGCGTCGCCAGCGTAGAAAGTATCATAGTAATAGTTTTCTCTTGTGGGGGAGTAACTTCCTGTTTCCTCGTCACTCTCTTCAGATTCCCGTTCTGTCTTTACACGTTGTTGCCATAACCGGTCGGCATACGCTTCCAAATCTCTTGTGGCGGGAAAATCATCCAACTCTTATGAAAAATAAAAACAGAATCGAAATTTCATTGACATTACCAAACTGCTACAATCTATTATATATAGAGGCTTTATTTTAAATGTGTTTAGTATCTATTTCCTAAACAGTTCAGTAGGTAAAGCGCAAAACTAATAATCTCAATGTCGTGGATTCAAAACCTACTCAAGCCACTATCATTTTTAATAATTTTGTTTATTTAATAACAATGTCATCATACACTCTAATGGTTCATTTAAAAGACATCTTCATATCATCAAAGCATTCTTTAAACAATTAAGCAACGCTAAACTAACAATCAACCTCGCAAAAAGTAAATTTTGCCACGCTACATTAACATTTTTAAAACATTTTTTTGTTTGTTTTTATTCAGATTAGAAAATATTTTAAGTTTGAGCTGGATTCGAACCAACAACCTATGAGCTTGCAGGTTTACACATTAAACTAGAACATGTATGATGTTCTTCTCATAGATTGCGGTATAAAAACCGAAAATAATTAATAAACTGGCCAAATATATTTTCTTGTTCAACTGTTCACTAACATGGTAAGAATCATCAAAATCCCTTTTTAATTCATTCAAAACAAAAATTAGTGTGGGTCACATTTAGCAAAAAGGTCTTCACTAATTCAGCGGATGATGGTGTTTCACTTTTTTTTTTTTTTTTTTTTTTTAATATTTATGTTATACAACCATTCAATATTACAACTCTATTACAACTCGTTTCATTATATCAAAGCAACAATCGCTACTTTCGCTCTGAATTAATTCACAATTTTAGCATCACGATTTTAGCGGACAGGTCTCAAATTAGGACATAAATTGGGCGCGGATTTAGAGGGCCCATCCTCTAAAAACTTCCAAGCAAACTATCAATATTCAAAGGAAATTTGAAAGAGTTTCTTTTTTTCTCTCTGATCGCTAGTCAATGTGCCTACTGTATCACTTTTAACTATACAGTAGATTTAAACAAACTGTACTGTTTTGCGTTTCAAGTAAATTTTCAATCCCTTCTAAATAAATAGGTCTACTGATAATAAAATTTTTAAGATGGCACAGGTTTCCAGTTTGTAATGATTTTTTTAATGATTGGTATATAAAACGCCCCAAAATGCAGCAAAATGCACCGTTAGCATCGATAACCCCATTTTCGGTAACAAGACAACTCACCCCCCAGACGATTCACCCCCCAAAAAAACAAGACAACTCACCCCTCAAGACAGTTCACTCTCCAAAATAGATAAGACAATTCACCCCTCATAAATGATAATCATGTTTATGGGTAAAAAAGAATAAAAAAGTCAGTATATTTATTTATTAATTTATTATGTCATATTTACAAAATATAACTATAACAGCACATATACCACAAAAATATATTTTTATTCAATCAAATCAAATAGCACATAATTTATATTGAGGGAAATGCCCATAATAATCTTGATATTTTTATTGTATATATGATGCAAACATGTACAACTGTTTAATTATCCATTATCTTAAAGTGCTGAAAAACATATTGTCTATTCTACATCCACTTTTTCATCAGAAGCACTTAACACCTTATCATTGCTTGATGTCACTTCAACAAAATATCATGGAGAAGAAGTACATTGTATCATTTCTTTTTGGGATATTGTAAGGTTTCAAAATGTAATTTTATGTCATTCAAGTATAATCGGGACGTTTGGGAAATATTGCATGATTGTCATTTCATGTCATTATCACATATAATGGGGATTAGTATCATTTGGGTTGGGGAATATTACATGTCTCTGCCAGGAATCTATCTAATCACTAGTTATCACTTAACAATTCATCCATATATTTCCCCCACTTGCTCAAGGAATTCCTCGGCTCTGAGCTCATGCTCATCATACAAATCCCATAAGGAAAAAATGTCCGGATCCATTGACTTATAAATCTGTCTTCGTATACGCACATGGTGAATTTGTAATTTTTACAGTTTGTATGTAAATAATATGTAAAAATATTAACACATAGTAACAAATATTATTTTTTAAGTAATAAATTATAATAATTAATTTAAATATGACTAAATATTTTATAAATATCAATTTAGTAAAGAAACACAACAAATTTGTTTATTGCATCTTCTAATTTTAAGATAAATTTCATCAAAATCAAATTTAAGAAAATGGGGGGTGAATTGTCTGTGTCATTTTTCCAATAATGAAAGTTGAACTGTCTGATGGGTGAATTGTCTGGAAAAAAAATGACTTAGAGTGAATTGTCTGGGGGGTGAGTTGTCTGTAAGCCCCATTTTCCCCTTGCATGTTCTCCAACCTGTTTTTTTCCGCCCCAGCCTTCAGATTTAAGATATTTGAAAATATGACATTATTTAGGCCTACACCGAATCAAAGATGAGGCAAATTAACGCATCACGATTCTATGTACACATATATCCTAGGAAACCGATGTTGATTATATGATGACACCTTACCTAGACATTTTATTCAAACAGCTATTTAACGTGTAATGAAATATAACTAAAGTCACGTTAACGAACACGTGTGTTATATATATAATTAGCACTTTATTAACAGAATGACAGTAATCAGAAATAACTTACCCGGCTTTTGGTCATCCATCTTAAAAAGTGAATATGCCGACATCGGATGTTGTAAACGTTTCTCTATGTATGGCCTACTGTAGTGTTGCTTAATCAATACACACGCGTGTTTACAGGATTGTGACACGATAGAATTCTATTGGCTGAATAATTTAGACGCGTCTGCTAAAGTCGTGTTCACCTTGAAGTTGAAACAGACTATAGGATTTTTCGACTGGTACTCCACGTATTGTTTACCGTTAAGTGTCCTATTTGAAAAACGGTAAACACTTCAAGCGCGCGACTATCAGATGTCAACAAGTTGAAACTGTCAAATTATATTTCAATCAATTTGATAAGAATCAGATGTAGATGTATTAATGAAAGCATGCATACAGATAAACGATAACGTTTTGTTGATATGCGACAAAAGACTATTTGCGGAAAACTTTGGTAAAAATTTTATTCGGTGTTAACTGACTGTTGATAACGACGCTATGCGATAAATTTAGTATCACCCCACCCACATTTTCAAATAAATCTAGCGGCTTGGCTATTACCTTCAAGCTTTATCCAATCTACGAATTTTGAATTAAAGTTTTTTACTGCTTGGTAAATGGCATAGATCTAGGGTATTCTTCCTCAGTTCCTTTCAACTGTGTCTTAATAGATCTTGTCTTGTGGAATGTTTCTCTAGATCTAAGTCTCATATTTCAAATGTTCGAAATTATAGAAAAATTCTAAAAAAATGCTCATAAATAGTGTAGGAAAGTTGGTGCTGTTTAGCATGCTGTTTTTGTTTCTCCTGGGACTTAAAAAAAATGTCTTGTTTTTAAGTCGCTGACAAATTATTTTGCAAATATTATCGTGGTGTCTTGTATTATCGTGGATGAAAACTTGTCTATTTTATATAATTTAGCAGAGCTGTTTTATTTCGGGCAAATAAATGTGACAAAAACAGATAAAAAACTAAATAACTATGGAAATTATCGTAAAATCCAGAGGAAAAACATTAAATTTATCTGTTTTTTTCTCCAAAATCATCAATTTTCTAGTTTTTCCCATGTTGCAGAAACCTGTAGCGGGTCTCTGACACAAGACATTTCAAATGACGGTCTCACACTACTATATATACAATACAGCTCAAAATATTTGTTCCACAAATAGATAATACAGAATCATATGAACTCAAATTAAAAAACCAATAATGAAACATTGTTTATCCTTATCACTTTTTATTTTTGACAACAAAACAATAAAAACACGTGTCCCTACAATGGAAAACTGTAGCTACACATAGCTAGCAGCCTTAACAACCAATCAAATTCCACGATAATACGAGAAAGCAACTGCTTCACATAGAGGGTGAAGGTCAGTATATACAAGCGGAAATATCTTTTGTTTTGCTTTCGGTTACGATCTTTCTTCCTTTATATTGTCTAATAAAGGTATTTTTCAGGGTATCAGGCTAAAAAATACTGTACCAAAATGTTTTGTAAAAATTATCCAACCACGTTTAGTCCTTAGCCCCACGATAATACGAGAAAACACGATATATAATAAATTCACAATATTCATGGTTCATATCCATAACGGTACCATGAAGCTAAATATAGATGGGGAGGAAACGGTGACGTCACACAGTTAAATTCAGTATGGGGGGAATTGTGTTTACGCAAGTTATCCACTTATCATATGTCACGCGATTTTCCGAGATTTGATGCATCCTGGGTAAAAATAGCCATATTGTATTCCCGGAGCTACATGGACAAAAAAGACGAAGCTTTTTCTACTTATATAAGAAGCAATAGATATTTGTACAATACACACTTTTCTACACAAATATTTCTCAGATGAAAATCCATGTCGGCAATGTAAACAATAATTCACGGATATTGCCAAAGTTTAATGAGAGCATGAAATTCGGAGTCCAGCGGTAAAACCAAATTATCACCGAAGTGTGCAAAGGATTGTGGGTCTGAATCTGACTATCGTCTATTTTCGGAGCTTCCTATCTGTTGTTCATATATCTGTGATGGTACCATCTTTGCGAATCTAATAAAATTGTACCCACTTTGCAGATGCACATGTCATTCTCTGCTGAAAACAAGAAGGCAACATACACCAATCTAGATGTTCAATTTATTGATAAAAGAAAAGTTGGTAGAAGAAGTATACCACAGAACAGAAGTTTTAACTATGTCCTAAGGAATTTGTCCATTTTGCAACTTCACAATAATTTACACAAAATCGAGATGTTTCACCATACCTACCGCCTGGGTATGTTCTGTGGGTCTGTTCAGTGGTTGTCAATCAATTAGTCCAACTAATTGTACTGCGTGTTGAGATATTTTGCTATTTTGTGTATGAGCAACCCTATCTCTACCCAGAATAAACATTCAGAATTTAGCTTAAGCATGTCAATCTATTTTGACTATCAATCAATCATTCCCTTTTTTTCACCAAAAAATGCATACTTTTTATGCCACCGCAGCATCTGCGATGCGGTGGCATATAGCGATTCACCTGTGTGTGTATGTGTGTTTGTGTGTGTGTTATATAGATTATTATAGTGAACTTAAAAAATCTTCTTGTGAAAAACCACTAGTCCAATTTCAACCAAACTTGGCAGGGTTGTTCCTTGGGTGAAGGGCTTCCAAAGTTGTTCAAATAATTTCATTCCATGCAGAAATCTGGTTGCCATGGCAACCAAAAGGAATTATAAGAATAAATTTGAAAAATCTTCTTGTAAAGACCCAAAAGGCCTAGAGCTTAGATATTTTGCATAAGGCATTGTCTGGTAGACCTCTAACAAGATTGTTCAAATTATAGCCCCGGGGTCAAAATTGGCCCCGCCACGGGGGTCATTGATTTTCACAATGTACATATAGTAAAAACTTAAAATACCTTCTTGTAAAAACCCAAAAGGCCTAGAGCTTAGATATTTTGCATAACGCATCATCTGGTAAACCCTTACCAAGATTGTTCAAATTATAGCCCTTGGGTCAAAATCGGCCCCGTCCCGTGGTCATTGATTTTCGCTATATGTACATATAGTAAAAACTTAAAACACCTTCTTGTAAAGACCAAAATGCCTAGAGCTTAGATATTTTGCATAAGGCATTGTCTGGTAGACCTCTACCCAGATTATTCAAATTATAGCCATGGGGTCAAAATCGGCTCCGCCCCAGGGGTCATTGGTTTTCCTTATATGTATATGGTAAAAACTTAAAAAAAATTCTTCTAGCAATTGACAAATGCTAGAGGTTAGATACTTTGCATGAAACATTGTGTTGTAAATCTCTAGCAAGATTGTTCAAATTATAGCCCTGGGGTCAAAATTGCCCCCGCCCTGGGGGTCATTGATTTCAATATATACATATAGTAAAAAGTAAAAAAATGTTATTATCTGAAGGTACAAGGCTTAGAGCTTTAATATTTGTTAAATAATATCATCTAAAGGTACTCTACCAAAGTTGTTCAAATTTTGCCTCTAAATGTGTCAAAATTAGCCCCGCCCTTGGGAGCCATAGGTTTATCTTATATGTATATAGTTAAAACTTAAAAAATCATCTTCTCTAAATTTACAAAGGATAGAGTTAAGATATTTTGCATGAAACATTGTGTAGTGAACTTTTAGCAAGATTGTTCAAATTATAGCCCTGGGGTCAAAATTGGTTCAGCCCCGGGGGTCATTGATTTTCATTATGTACATATAGTGAAAAAAAAATTTTTGCCTGAAGGTTCAAGGCATAGAGCTTTGATGTTTTATATATAATATCATCTATAGGTCCTCTACCAAATGTGTTCAAATGTCAAAAATTTGCCCTGCCCGGGGCAGTGATTCTCATTATGTACACATAGTAAAAACAGAAAATAAAACAAATGTTTTCTGAATGGGAGAAAGCTATAGCTTAGATATTTGACTTGAAATGTTGTTTGGTGGACCTGTATCAAGATTGTTATTAAACCCTTGGGTCAAAATTATGCCTTGCCCAAGGGGACAGTGACCTACTTTCTTGTCCTTTGATGTACAGCAATGACATTTTGACCATGTGCACAGTTTTAGTTGTAAAATTGAACTTTGACCTAGATTTTGATGATGTGACCTACTTTCTTGTCCTTTGATGTACAGCTATGAAATTTGAACCATGCGGTGGCATAGCATTTTTCTCAAATGCAATCTTGTTCAATAATAAAATGATTAAATTAATTTTGGCAATTGTAAACAGTAATTTTTTAATGTCTATTTTAAGAACATTAACATTGAAAATTTGGACAAGAGTGCAATACCTGACCTCTTATTCTAGCTATAATCATTTGCAGAGTAAACAATAGAATTTCCAAAACTTTAGCATAACCTGCTGAAATATTGTATGTCATGTTAGAATTAAAAAATAAAAAAACCAAAGCTTTTATCTGGATTAAATCGATGTCATGACTCATGTAATACATCTGTCCGCACACATGGTACTGTTGTGTGGACAATTTAGGAAATTTTATATATCCTCCATGGTGGGCCTCAGACATAAGTTGTGTCAACATAATCAGAAATAAACAAACTAGTTTGTTATTATAAGGAGAAGAACCGAGCTGTACCATGTCAAATTTTCCAATCTCTAACTTTAAAATTATGAAATCTGTATGGAAAAAATCAAAAAGTGTCCGGTTGATGGTTCCCGACCAGTATATTTAGTAAAGATATAAAGGTGTTGCTGTAATTTGTAGTTTAGGCAGGTGTACTAAAAGTATTATTTTATTTTAGAAATGCGCTTTTAAATTTTGGATGTCCAGGATATATAAAAAGATATGTCAGCAAGCAAGAAATTGACCGAGTCAGCTGAGCATGACATGTACATTGCTCAATTAAAGGAAGTGTTTGACAGTTGTGATGAGACTGGTTCAGGTACATTAGAGAGACAGGAACTGCTTCAACTATGTGATAAATTACAGCTTGATGACCAGTCTGAGTACCTTGTCAATGAGCTTCTGAAAAACAAGGCACAGGTAAACTTGTTTACTGTTTCATGATAATTTGTTACAGCATGTGATATCAGTTGTGTAGGGTTTTTTTTATATCTATCAATTTTGTTTTCGATATTTTTTAGTCAATAATTGGCAACAAACATGTAATTTACTGAGTTATCATGAGCAAATAGCATATGTACTGTAAATTTGTCCCTGCTTTTATTTTTTTTTCTTAATCTGTTTATCTCTCTAAAATATGGAGAATTTTAAAGTGTTGAAAGCTTTATATATATTTGTCGAGTGTAATATTTTTGTTTAAATGATTACAAAATACCTAGAATGAAAGAAATATGCCATTATATTTTTTTGAAAGCAAGTGGGGCATGCATAAAATCATTTTTAAACCTACTTAATAGCAGCGGAATCTTTTTGTTTAAAGGTTGACTTCAAAGAATTCCGTGAATCTTTTGTGAACATTTTATGTCAAACATACAGCAAAGAGCCATCATCTGATGAGGAAGAAGAAGGAGAAACTGAGAGTGAGTCAGAAGATGAGATGAGTGATAATGATGATACAATGGTATCCGAGAGTAATGGTGAGTTCTTTTTATTCCTAATAACTTTGGCATTAAAGATAAGCTAATGAAGTGTATTTTTATTCTACACACAGTTTTGATATCATTTCAAATTTTGATAATTATACAAGAGAGGACCAATATACTTACAACTGTTAAATTGTTACAACTTTGGTCTTAAATTTGCCAAAAAGCACAGTTTCAATATGATAATTTTTAACAAGACACTTGTCCATGAACAGCATGCTCCACGTTTTACAATGCTGGATAGTTTAATTGATTTAAACCTGCTTTTGTTAGTAAACAAGTATTTTAAGTCTTAATTGAACAGCATTGGCAGATTTTCAGAATAGAAAAATATTTTTAGTCAAAAAGGGGAAAGTATAAAGCATAGCAATATTGATAGTGAACAAATATTCAAAGTTAAAAGTGAGTATTGTGGATAGTTTATAAGAAATTTAACTTAAAGAGGCCAGTAATCAAGAAATTCTTAATAAATTCCAAGTTTAACTGTTCTGAGGTGCATTCCAATTTTATAGTACAGTGTGATCTCTACAGAGAGGCCCTCTGTAGAGCAATAACCACTTAACAACAACAGCATGAAAACTTCACAAACTTAACATTTAACATTGAATTTCATCCCTCTAGTGCAACACCTCTCAACAGCAACCAAACTTATGCCTTCAAAAGGGCATTACTCTGTAAAGGTTTTACTTGTTTGAAATGAGTACTTTGGATAGTTTTCTGTAGAATTAACAAGTGCAAAAAAATCTAAGAGTAAAAACAAGGGCATAACTTTGCAAAAGATATAAGATATGAATTATTCGCCTTTATGATATGGTCTAACATTTTAGTATTGTCATATCAAATGTACCAAGTTTAAAGTATTTTGAGAGCATGAACCATAGTAAAACACTGACAAAGTAAAAAATGGGCATACCTTTGCAAAGCAATAATATTTTATTATCTGTCCTTTTAATAAGGCATCACATTATGCTAGCAAATCAGTGTAAAAAAAGTTGAATTGAATACCTTTCATAACCAATGCCATTGCCAGCAAGAGGGTCATGTCAATAGGTCCACTTTTTTCTTTAAAAACTGCAGTCAGATTGAAACAAATTTTTTTTATAAAATACTTTTGTAACATATTGAACTACATGTTGAAATTTGAAACACAAACTGTGACTTCCACTAATTGTTATATATATAATGAATAACCTCTCTCTCTTTTCCTCTTTAAGGTGAAATGAAGATAACATTCTTTATATAAATAGTAGGAAAGGCAACAAGTTACCAGTTAATCCAACATTTAGTTATAAAATAAATGCAACTGAATAAGTTATGTTTGCTATTCAATTTTATTTATCTGTTCAATACATTGTTGAAAAGTATATAAAAGGGAAATTGTAAATGCATTTAATATATTTAACAGATATTCCAGTTAAAAGAGAGATGAGCCCCAAGTATATAGTAGGAGAGAAGCAATATGGTCGTCGGTCATTACCTGTTAGTGCGGAGGAATTGGAGGATTTATCTGTACTGGATGAGGAAGACATCGAGGTGGCCTCATCAACAAAATCTCTCAAACGTTCGATCACTGTTCATGATGACACCGACTCTGAAGAGGTAGGTATTTGTATAAAAACAGCACTTTTTGATATTGATGAGATATCTGTAGCAGCAATCGACCAGATTCAAGCTTTTTTATGAAAATTAAGAAAAAAATGTCATGTAGCAAAAGTTTTTGTAAAGTCATATAAATGAAGGGATGACTGCTAGACTGAGACATTTCCTATTTTCCTATACACTGAATAATCTATAAGTCAAAAGATGCAGAAATAGCCTTTAATCTGTCAGTAAGAAGTGATATATATGGATTAAAGATGGTTTATCTTTAAAACGTACAAAGTCTTTTTGACGATGAATGATTACATTTCTTAAAATCTTAAAGTCCAAATATATTAAAATGAAAGAAATTTACAGTTCATTGCATTCAAACTTGTACAACTAAGAAGAACCCTTACAATACATGGAGTTTGCATTTTCATTTCCATGTTGATTAAGTTAGATTTGTGATATAATATTTACATCACTATAATATTGTACCTGTAGACAAGACATTGCAGTATTAAGTAGTAAGCATTGTTTTGGGAAATATAGTATGTAAAATGTAAGGAAGTATGAAGAATCTATAATATAGAATAAAGATCTATCATCTTATACATGTATTATCTTCTCGTATTTCATTTAACAGTTTTCTGATGTTTGTGAAACTGATTAGAGTCAAGAAGGTAGCATTCTTTAGTTGAAACATATATATGTTTAACATATTAATCATTTTATAACAAGTTCATGTATCATATTGTTTTATGATGACATCACCAGTCAATAGATCTCATTCAGTCAGTTTCTCCTAAAGTATGTCTAGTGAATTGAGCCATGTCATGACAAAACCAACATAATGGGTTTGCGACCAGCATGGATCCAGACCAGCCTGCGCATCCGCGCAGTCTGATCAGGATCCATGCTGTTCGCTATCAGTTTCTTGACTTGTAAAAGGGTTAGTAAGCGAACAGCATGGATCCTGATCAGACTGCGCGAATGCTCAGGCTGGTCTGAATCCATGCTGGTGGCAAACCCATTATGTTGGTTTTATCATGGCGTGGCTCAATTTATCTTTGATTTCAGACATTTCAGAATCTTGTTCATTCACATAGAGAACTTTCTATACTTTTTAATGACCATTAGAATTAGAAACTTTAAATAAATGTTATGTTTTTGATAATAAACTGACAAATGTAATTTCATAGACTTGGTATATTTTGTTTATTTTCATTCCACATACCTGTTGATAAAACTTATTGTGATAACAAACTATTGTTTCTATAATATGGTACATTTATACATGTATATATATAACAGTAAATCTGTCTTGTGTTGGTATCTTTATAAGGTATTGTAACTTAGGGAAGGGATTTGTGTCAGTTACTTTTTATTTAACAGCTGCTGTACAGACTAAGTTGGGCTCAGCATTATTATTAGCACAATATCTGGTTATGGTTTTGCATGCATTTCATATCTCATAAACCACTTGAGAAATGACTTGAAGCTTCGCATAGTCATATTCCTGAAATTGTAAATGAGAAACTCTTGCTTGGATTTACACTGAATGATGAGCTAGTGTATCTCTTTAAATCTAAGTTAACATTTGAAACTTCACACATATATGTCTTCTTGGTCACAATTGTTGGTCACTGATCAAGACTAATAATTTCAGCATTAAATTTCACAGAATTATTTTCCCATATGTGATCTTTAAAAGAATCCAGGCTTTTTTCTGTAAGGCATTGGGAATATTTGAGTTTACAGTCTGAGAATTGTTTTGATTAATTTTGTACATGAATGCTTGTTTCCTTTCTTTAGATTGATTATGTTTGTGTGTACAATACTAAAATAACCATACTTTAGATTTATTAGGAAAGTATGTCACAAAATATCATATTTCATATCGTGGCCAATTAGAAATATGTTGAAGTATATAACTATCTAGTGTTTTATTCCCCCTAATTTAGATATAGTCTTATATCTTCCAAAATAAATATATCATTTTTTCTGACTTGGTTATTAAATATATATTTTAATATTTTATTCTCAGACGTTAAGAATCTCATTCTTGTGGAATAAAGTAATTATAGACCTAAGATAAGATTTAAAAGTTAACCAACAGTTCCTTCGTATTTCTTACATAAAACCTATTTAACTCAATACTGGAAATAAAATTTATGCAAAGACATTGTAAGTTTACTTTATTTTACAGACTAACTAAGCAAGGTAAACATAAAAGTAGTGGTATTTTTATTAATAATCCTTGAATTTTATGTTTTTGTTCTTTTATTTGCTGCATTGATTCCCTTTTATAGACCTTTATTTACAATAACTATCAGCTTAAGCAACTGGTAATGGTAGTTTTATTGTTAATGTTGCCATATCAATTGGCTTTTATATATAATTTATCTTGCATTTTCCCCTTTACATTTATACTGATATAGTCTGTTTCAAAGATATGAGTCATTTCTAGCCAGGTGGTATTTGTTTATGGTTTATTTATAGCTACTGTCATTGTTGACATGTATATATTCTCCTGATAAGAATCAAGTGTAGTGAAGTTGTATAAAACGTGTTGTAAAGTTTTACACAAACAGCAAATTTTAAATTTGACTGAATATTAAACTTTTAGAATGCATTTTGTAAACTGATTTAGCTTATTAGGTAAAATATGCTATAAATAACTTACAACAGTTTTATGAAGGTCGCAATATGGATTAAGACAGCTGTATAAAGTAGTGTGTTAAAAGTATAAAAATAGCAATAATTTAAACATGAGGATCAAGCTAAAGAAGGGAAATATCAAAATTGTGTTATTAATTATCACCTTCATAGTTGTGTTTATAGTGCTGAACAATTCTTATAAAGTGTCAAATGAACTTTATAATGATATATCAAGATTTGAGGAGAACTTGGACTATTATGTAGAAAATGTTGACTATGATGACAGTTTCTCTCCATTCTTCATAAGGAAGAAGAAGATTTTTAACAAGATTAGTAAAGGATTTTGCCAAGAAAGGAGGAATTTTGTGTTCATAAAAACCATGAAGTGTGCCACCCAAACTTTAGTTCAAATATTCAGAAGGTTTGGCTACTTAAGACATTTGAATTTTGTCTTACCACGAGGGAATAATATTTACATTGGTTGGCCTTTTATACCAGAGAAACAGGACTATAGACCGTCTGGACGAGAGTTTAATATTCTGACAGAGCATGCTGTGTACAATCATACAGTCATGACAAAACTAATGCCAAAGGACACTAAATATATCACCATCATCAGGGAGCCATTCAGTCATTTTAAATCTACCTTCAATTACTTCAACGTAGCCAACATATCATTTGTTAAAGAGACCGATAAAGTATCTGGCTACCTTCAAAATTTAGAAAAATATGAAAGTAGTTATAAGAGACCAAATGCAGCCTTACGTTACTGTATCCCGGATGGATTTTCTGTTACTAAAAACCAACTATCTCATTGTTTAGGGATGCCGTTAGGATATCCTTCAGGTCGTGAAAATATCACAGCTAACAAAATGTTAGTGCAGGATTATATTAAACACCTAGATTCAGAATTTCTACTTGTAATGATAATGGAATATTTTCACGAGTCTCTGGTGCTACTTAAACGTCTCCTGTGTTGGTCTATGAAAGATATTCTATATCACACCATTAATGTTGGAAACTATGGTTATAAAAATACCCCACCTAGTGCAGAAAATCTTAAAATATATCAAACATGGAGTCATATAGATTACCTTTTATATGATCATTTTAATAAAACATTTTGGAGAAAAGTGATATCTGAAGGAGATGACTTTCAAGCAGAATTATCTGAGTATAACAAGGTCCAGTCTCAAGTATCAAACTTCTGTTCGGACTTGAGTAATAAAAACAATGTGACAGTGATTGAAGAATCTCCATATAGTGATACATTTACTATAAGCAAGGACTACTGCCTCATGCTAGGAATAGATTTACTCGAGTATTTAAAGAGAAGATTTGATAGAGAAGAGGCTTGGTCAGAACCAGAAAATAAAACTGCTGTGAAAAGAGGCTGCTGATTGCTGAAGAATTAATCATTGCCATATATATGATTTTAATAACTTGAATACTAACAGCTAACCAAAGGAATCAAAAACTGTTACCTACAGATATTTTTTAAGGATTTTTTTACATTAAGAACAACTTGTTATGTAATCAGACAATTACATTTTGTTAGGTATTTTTTTCTCAGAAATTGAGAATGATGAATTTGACTTGAATTCCAATATAAAATTCAGAATTTTCAGCTGTAATGTTCCAATTGTATTGATATATTTCTTGTTCAGAATTCAATACAAAGTATTTTTGTCCATTCATTTATGAGATTGATATGCTTTGACACTAAGACAGCCTTAGACAGGTGATGCATTGAATAAGCATGAAAAACTATTGTCAAAATTTGTACATTTGTAAACTTTCATTGAAGTTTTGTATTACATGAATAATTGAGGTACTATTTATTGCCTTATGGCATTAGACATACAATTATTAATGTGTTTTTGTGACAGAAGCTACAGAAAAGTCACAAAACTTGTCTGGACTTATAATTCCTAAAAAACTACTGTTGCAATTTTATTTAAACTTTACAAGAATGATCAGTACCAAGTCTTCCTATGCATATTGTCAGCATTTTCCAGTTCAATGATTTTAGCGAGAGTTATGGCCTTTTAATGAATTTTACTGTTTAAAGTTTTGTTCAGACTTCTTCTGTTACACTACTAATGTTATTTGATTGTTTGTTTGTTTGTTTGTTTCATTTTACGCCTTTTCCCAACAGTATTTCAGTCATATAGGCGGGTAGTTTCCTAACCATCGTTCCTGGAGAGTTACACCAGTACTAAGACTACCTTTCTCCGCGCTAAACTACCAAAGCATTCTCCGGGGATCGAACCCACGCCAGAGAGGTAAATGGATTAGAAGTCATCGACTCTAACCCCTCAACCATTTGATTGAAACTTTACAATATTGAAAGGGACCTCAAGAACTTGCGCATATTTAACAATTCTGGTTAATTAATTTTTGGCTGACTCATGGCCCTTGAATAGAAAAAAATAGGATTTTGGCCAGTTAATGATTAATTTTTCTCATGCTACACAGTAGCTGCAACATGCTACAAAGTAGCAACAAAGTCCAATCACCCCTCAATACAACTGTTTTAATTGGCTATCATGAGGTGATACATGTGATTACTAACTCTTGTGTTATAATATCATATGGTGTCAGTTTTGTAAATTTAGTTCTTTTTGCTTAAATTAAAATCCCAGTTTTATTGTTTTTGGTCTCACTAAATAAAATCACATGCAGTGTTTCAGATAAGACTGTTAACCTTCAGTGTCTCTTTAGAATAATTACTGTATTGCCCAAATCCTTGGAGCTGTTGTGTATAAGGGAGTGGGGCTAGGGAGGAGAGGGGTAGGTGGGGATGGAGTTAATTTTATGGTAGTGTACATCTAACAACAAATTATTGCAAGAACTGATGCTGACTGATATAAATGATTTCACTGTAATAGAAATTCAATACACTTCATCACTAAATCTCTTTTTCCTCTACCAATAAAGCCTATTAGAAGCTTAAGACAAAATGTTAAGGATTATTGCATTAAATGTTCAGAGTTAGGAAACAGATGGTTTTATACCTGCAGCTAAAGAAGGGAATGTCTCAAATTATCTTGTAATCTTTCCTCTGTGTCATTCTGCCTCAGTATCTGCTAGTCTCCACTATGTTTCTGTTTATGTTTGTTTCTATTTTAAGGAAAATCATGTCTATGGATCACTTGCTTAACAAATTATCATGAGATATAAGTTATTGCCAACACCTCAATTTTCAGATTTATTTTCTGAAGGATTGACAGGGAAAAAAAACAAAATTTGATCCAAAAAATAATGAGATTTCTTAATTGACTTGGCTGGTAAGATCAGCTTTGTTTTCATTGGAAATCCTTTAGCTTCTAGTCAACCTAGAGGTTTTGGTTAAAAAAAACCCCAAAATGATTCTGTGGAGGCAAAATATATTTCCCATCCTCACAAATGATGTACATTTTTAGAAAATTATTTGTTTTTACAATTATTGTTGGAAATTTATGGAATAAAAACATGTTAATTTCTCCACTGTTTTATGATATTTGTGTTCAGTGCCAATTTTCATTAATTTTGATATTCATGCTATAAACATTGTAAATGTTTGATGCAAATAAAGATTTATTTGATTTTAATTTGTTAATGTTATGAAGATTACTTTACAGGGTAACTTGCGTTTAATTCTTTTTTGTTTTAAATGGGAGTTGATAAAAATGATATGAAAATTTAATAAAGTAAAACATAAAAAAATCAAAACCAGTGTTCAATATTTTACAACCTTTATAAATGTCAGTATAATTTATAGATGCTTGGTTAAATTTATCAGTTATATACATTTCAATATTGATATGACCCAATATTGAAAACATGGCACACAGAAGTCAATGTCTATTTCAATTTGTATTCTATATCTTAAGTTTAGTTCAAAGTTAATTGTCCATTGCATCTTTTCCTATTTCTTTTGGAATTTCTTTCTTTTCAGTGAAATTTTTTTAATTCTTAATCTTTGTACCGAAAATGAGTACACAAATTTACACTAACAGCTTTGTATAGTTGTAATGCTGTCTATGAAATATTAACTTTCACTGATTGTATACTTTCTTAAATAATTATTATCCCAGTATAGTAAAGCAGTAAGACAAAATGTTGAAAATTGTGTTTTGAAACACCCCCCTGTAACGTAAGAGCACCTCTGATATTTAATTACAATTACTTTAATGATAAAACTGTATTAACAACTGTAATCTAAACAACAACTGGCTCCTGCCAAATAATTGCAGTAATGAAAGCCATTCCTAACATAAAAAACTTTGAGAAAAGATGATGATAGAGGAAATTGGTTAATTGACAAGTGTGAGACACTTGCAGGATTAGGTTACTATTTCTTTGTCTATCTTATTATAAAAACTGATATATAGACTTTGACTTTTATGTCTGAAATCATAAGTGAACATCTCTCTTATGAGATTTATGAAATGATATTACTAGTGATAAGAGATTTTACAGTGAAATAAAAAAATGCATTTACGGAGATGTTTTATGTGCATTATAACAGTTTCGTTTTTATTTTACCTTTTTCTGTCAGTTTATCTAAATTTTTCGTTGCGGTCACATGATGCAAGGAATGGTGTTTTGTTTTATCAGGGACTTAGTTTTGCTGATAGAGTTCCAGTTCAGACTAAGATTAAGTGTACAAATGAAATGACAAATTTTGTTTTTATTAAGTGCATGAAATGTGCGACTGAAACTATGGCGTCAGTTCTACGCCGATTTGGATATCTCAGAAATTTAACTTTCGTTTTGCCTGTTAAAAGAAATCTTTATCTTGGATGGCCTTTTCCTATTGAATTAAGTGATATCAGACTATCAAAGTTTGACTACAACATTCTATTAGAACATAGTATATATAATGGCTCTTTTTTGCAACAGATTATGCCGAATAATACTATGTATATAACAATGATCAGAAACCCGTGGGATCATTTCAAGTCAACTTACAACTATTTTGATGTTGGAGAAATAGGTGATGTACCAAATAAAAGTATTGAAACATATTTGAAGAATATCACATACTATGAAAGCATTTATAAAAGCCCAGAAAAGAACTGGAGACGTCATTGTGTTCCGGAAGGGTTTTCAATTACTCGAAACTTATTATCACACTGCCTGGGTTTCCCACTTGGATTCCCAGCTGGTAGAGAGGATATAAGTAAGAACCAGGGCAAGCTACAAAGCTACATCAACGACCTTGAGGAGAGATTTTCCCTTGTTATGATAGTGGACTATTTTGCCGAGTCCCTTGTGTTACTTAAACGCATCATGTGTTGGAGTTTTAAGGATATTGTTTATCATCATTCAAATATGGGCAACTATAAAGACAGCAACCTTAAATCACTCAAACCAGAAGGAGAATATTACAAAATTCACCGCAATTGGAGTAATGTGGATTATATGCTATTCAATCATTTCAATAAAACATTATGGCAAAAAATTAAAAATGAAGGTCCAGATTTCTATGAGGAAGTACAACAATTTAGACTAATTCAGCTGTTGGTGGAGAGATTCTGTTTTATTGAAAACATGTGGAAGTTTCCAAACAAGTATATGACTATTCCTGGGTCTAAGTTTGGTAAAAAGTTCAATATAACTGGTGAAGATTGTGTTTTGATGAATACATACATGTTGCCTTTGTTGTGGGCAAAATTTTATGAAATTGAGGGAGTAAGCCCTGAACAATTTGAAGATGTTGAAAAGAGACCTAAGCCACTTAAAGGATGTAGTATAAGATAGGACTAGACCCTGTAATTTGACTGGCATATACCTTGTGCAAGAAATGAAAATGAAAGGTTTTACTGGCACTAAGTGTAAGACATTATATGATATACAAAATGTTTTTGTCATATGGTTAAAGTTATATTAGTAAATAATTTATTTCAGATTTTTTGTATTAGACTTAATTGTGGTAGTGGTAGAATTTACTTATTATTAATAATTTTTTTTTATTTTGGAGAAAATTTATCATTTTGGAAGTTTTTTATATATACATGTATTAACATTCATGACTCTTTACAACAAAAGCTTTGAAATGCTGAAATAAAAGAAAAAGATTCAATGTTCAGCAATTAGCAATTTTTAAAAAAAATTTTTTACAACAAAACAAGTTATGTTATGAAAATCACTTACCAATTTCTGATGATTCTTTCCCACTAATGTGAAAAGAATAAAAGGAATTTATTTTAACTTATAATGTATAGAAAAGCATAATTTAAGGTTATCTAGAAATTGCATAAATTTGCACATATTTAAAAGTGAACCTTTTTAGTAGTAAAACATCTTAAATGATGTGAGAGATTTAAACTATTGATATATATGAAGTTTATATTGTATTATATATGGTATATAGCTTCTTAAAATAATTGTTTAACACTGTTGACAGTGCTATTGATAGTTTTACAAAAATGTACTTTACTGAATAAAGATGTTTACAATGGTCATTCTTGTCTAGTCTATTAACCCTGAATTATCTTTATCCGAGATCCTAGTATATAATGATTATTTGTACAATAAATCTTCAAGTTTGATCAGGAAATTGAGAAAACAAACAAATCAAGTAAAGTAGCTATGAAAATAGGCTAATATATCGATAAAACAAGTGTTTAAATGCAATACCTGTAGGTGGATTATAGTTAGAATAAATCTCTCTTTATTGTACGGATAGTCACAGTCATGTTGCAAGTAAGTTTTATACATTAGTATAAAGTATTTTGAAAATATAAAATTGAGAATATTATATAAAGGGGGTTGAAAGCTATGCATCATTCTAGTAAATATTAGAGTAGTACCTTAAGATTTTTTTTCAATAGTGGGGCTATCCTACACAGCTCGGCATCTGTGTGTCTGCATTAAACTTTTGATAAAGTTTTATGTGAAACTTCTTGTACATTATATGTACCACATCAACCATTGAAGATATTTGCTTATATTTTCACATCAAACTATTTGAGATCATGATAGGAGGTCACTATCCAAGGCCCATAACTCTAGTATGGATTTTTACAGAGTTATAGCCCTTTGTGAACTTAGATTATAAATTCCTCGTGCAACATAATCCCTGCCTTTGGACTCCACTGAGGTGCTTTATTAAATGACGGGACTGGAAGTATTTTTCCAAGATTAGTGTATGATTTGATGTACTCTGTGTTAAATCAACAACTTGTGTGCCAACTGTCTGATCATTCCCTCAAATCTGGCTAAAAATTGCACTAATTATCGCTGTTCAATTTAGTGTCGAGAACATTTCAGCATTATCCTTTGCAGGATTTTCCATTTTAAGTGCTTCATTTGAGCTATGTAACAATTATATTATATTATTACATTGTATATTTTATGTTTTTATGCATTTCATGGATATACTGAGGTCAAGGTCACCAGTGATGAAAATAGATTTCCCCTTTTGCTCGTAATTACATGTATAGTCTTTATTTGTTCACTGATTTCTTTCATATTGAATGTGTTAACAAATCAAGGATATGAATCAAAGCTTTTCACTGTTAAAAATAGATATTTACACTTTTTATGAATCAAAGCTTTCAGTGCTAAAGAGTAGATGTTTACACTTTTGGTTGTACAGCCTTTATTTATTGACCAGTGTCTTTCATATTTGGTAAGAACGGTATCCGGACAATTCCCCTCCTGGACGATTCCCCTTCCAGTAAATTTGAATGTTTTTTCACAACCCGGACATTTCCCCTCCCGTTATTTTTTACGGCGGACAATTCCCCTCCCGTTATTTTAGCAGAGCGGACAATTCCCCTCCCGCTGTTCTCAGAGCGGACAATTTCCCTCCCGTGGCTGTTGAACAAATATATGTTATAATATTGTTTATTTGAATCGACTTTAAATACATTTTGCTTGTCTATATTGACATGAATATAAACAAAACGCATTTTTTGGTTGAAATAATCTTTATTTCGTCAGTACATTTCTGCAGCGGAAAATGATTGTAAATAATTTGTTTTGCAATCAAGGACACGTTTAATTAAGGGCAGCATTGATTAAAGATTTTTTATCGACAGTTTGTTTATCTTAAGCAGCGGCGGCAATGATTAAAGGCGGTATAATGTCACCTTTGTGAAATAATGATTCTTAAAAGTTCCGATCTTTAACAGTTTGTTGTTAAGAGAAAAAACTGTCATCTTTAATATGAATTGTTATAGATTTTTTATACGCAGTGACGGCTATGATTAAGGGCCGTATAATGTCACGTTCTGCTCTGTGAAAAAACGGGAAGGGAATTGTCCGCTCTGCTAAAATAACGGGAGGGGAATTGTCCGTCCTATAAAATTAACGAGAGGGGAAATGTCCGGGTTGTGAAAATAATATGGAAGGGGAATAGTCCGGGAGGGGGATTGTCCGGGATTCGGTAAGAACAGTACTTTGGATGGTCCATTACGTTTTGATTGGGGTTGGGTTCACAAGGTCAAGGTCACCATTGCTTTATTTATTGGTTTATTTGTCTGTGATATTTGGTAGATAAATACCTTGGGTGCTTTTCTTATTTTGGGTGAAGTTTAAGGTCTCTGGGTTCAAACGTGAATATTTTTCCACTTAAACTATCAAATAGCAATGATATGCTAATTTACATTTTTCTGACAAAAAAAAGAGGTCATGACTCTGTCAAGCTTATATAGAATTACTGTGTAAACATCTTTTCTTGACCTATCTCCCCTTTCTTTTGATAACTGAGTAAAATCAAGCACTGAGCATATCGTCACGCATGCTCTTCTACTGAAGCTCTTGTTTTAAGTGTTGCAGAATAATAAATATATTCTGTATTCAATGTGTTGATAATTTAAGATTAACAAAATGTATCTATGCATATTTTACATCAACATCTTCATGTTTGTTAATTTTCTCTGTTTTAGGAGACAGAAAAATCATTGTTACAATATATAAGGCATATACTAAAGAAGTATATTATTATCAAAATAGATTTTTGACTTTGGATATATTAACTTACAACTATTTATAGTGTGACCAAAAATCTGCTAAGAAGTTTTACATAACAAATTCATAATACTGCACAATTGCTATCTCTCATTAAATTAAATTTTGATAAGTGCATATAGATATTATAGACATAATGATTGTCCAGTCAGAACTGATGTAACATCTGTGCTTATCTCTGCTTCCAAAACATGAAATAAAAGGTTTAGCCATTTAAGAATGATACATGATAGTTGGGTACAGCTGTCAGTATATATATGATATATGTATGTCACATATTGTATTGATTCCTATATGAGTGTATACATCAATATAACATTACTCATATGTCATATGTATTCTGTCCTGACTTGTATTTAAACAAACATATTACATGTACTTGAAATTGTTGTCTTAATAAGGAGCATATGAAAGCTTATAGCATTAAGAATTCAACAAGTATGTTGTTTAACATAATTGATTTGATTTTGTAACATTTATGTCATGGTAATTAAGAAAGCAAAAGCGAGACAATTGGATTATGTTAAAAACAAAAGTAAACAAAAGGTAAGGATGATTTTTTGTAAGCAATAAGCTTAGATAGATTATACATAATGTAAGAATTGTGAAGTAATTAACCTTATTGTTTTAATTGTTATAACTGAATGTAATTGTTGAACACTGTACCTAGCTCACAGAATGTTGGTGGCTCTATTCAGGTGTCTGTCTGTACTTGAAATAATATGCAAAGGGGGCATCTGAAATTTTCCTCCACCAGTAAATCTGGAATGTCACCTTTACCTTTAATGTGCCTTGAATTCCAACAAAACAAATACTTAATAAACACTATTATAGCTGAATATTGATTGAAAAAACAAAATTAAAGCACAAAATTTTATTAAACAACAAATATAACACTTAATGGAAGTAATATAAACCCTAAAATGACGGAAATTGTTAAATTATAATAATAATGTTACCATGCAGATTTTATTATGTATTGTTCATTGTTTCAGGATGTGAGTGAATCACAAAAGAGACGTCGAGGGTTTGAGGAGGGAGCTTCTGGCGGTCATTCTGACACTGAAACCTATGAAGCTGAAGGTTTGTTTATAATCATACATCAATGTCAAATAGCTAACATTTACAGTTATAAATCCATTCTTACCTGTTGATTAACAGATTATTGTCATAAATAAGTTGCTGTGGACAATAGTAGTATAAACCAGAATACAATATGTTTCTTGATAGAAGAGTAAATTTTTGTGATAGAGCTAAATTGATAGGTCCCTTCTCGAAATACAAAAGATGTAACCACTGCACATTGATAGGATGTGATGAAATTGTTATTGTGCTTCACTAATCTGATAATTTGAATAAGACAGATTAAGGTCATGTTGGGATCTATTCATCGATGTTTAAGTTGAACAAATTAAATAGAATTAAAACATCTGTTGTTATTTGACTGTAGGTCAGTTAAACTTGATGATGGCTGATATAGGAGATCTAACAGAGGAGGAAGATTATCTGCGTGGTATCTGGACCAATCTTGGTGTCGGCAGGAATGGTTACATTGATATTGCTGAACTTGCCATGGTCTGTTCACATATTGGCATGGAACAGATGAATGATACTGTAAGAAATATTTGGATGTTAAAGGAATTCATTTCTTTATGAAAGAGATGCATGTTATCTCGAGTATTTTTGTAGTCTTAAACTACAACCTTCAACTTGTGACTCAATAATTTTTTACATCAAGTGATACAATGTTGTATTAATTGTTTTAAGAGTATTTTCTTTAATCTAGTTTATAAACTTGCTTATTTAGCTTTCTATAATCTTGGCACTAAAACAACTAGATTATAAAAAAATGCTTCTTTTCGTTATATATATTTACAGCAACTACAACAATTGTTTGAAAAGTTGGATGCAGATGGAGATGGGCGAGTGTCATTTCGTGAATTTCTTAACGAGTTATTTCAGCATAACACTCCCCCAACAGCTCAGCCGCCTACCACACCAAGGTCAAAAGGTCCAACACCTACACGACCATCGTCAACTCCAACACGTGCACACTCGGCACAAAAGAAACTAAAGTTCCCTGGTAGTGAGGAGAGGATTACACCATCTATTGTACAGGGCACAGGAGTTACTGGTCTTTTCTCTGCTGTAGATCTAAACAGAACTGGGTATGATTGTGATTGTGTTTAAAATGAATATAAATGTTTTTACCTCATTTGTTTACATTATCCCTTTGTAAGATAAATTGACATATTCTTTAATGTCGATAAATATAATTTGGTATTCTATTTACTATATTTTCATACACAAAGGAGAACTTACAATATTTCTCAAAGGTTTTACCAAATTTATTATTAGATCAGTTAAGTTATATTTATAACTATATTTTAATGGTTACAGATTTGCTAAACCAGATGCCATCTTAGATCTATGGGAAAAGTACAATGTATCAAATGGTTCTGATGTCCTTCTGGTATGATTTTATCTTGTGGTTTAATTAATCTGTTATACTAACCTTGCATCAAGCTGTTTCTTAAAAATTGAATGTTTCTTTTGTAACAATTAAAACAGTTGAGTCTTATTGTAAACATGGACAGCTGTATTGGATAATTATGTCTCCCCCACCTCGGGGGGAGACATATTGTTTTTGCCCTGTCCGTCCGTCAGTCCGTCCGTCCGTCCGTCAGTCCGTCCGTCCGTCAGTCCGTCCGTCCGTCCATTCTTCGTTTCCGGACGATAACTAGAGTTCCTTTTGACCTACAGCCCTCAAACTTCATAGGATGATTGGTCTTATAGAGCTGATGATCCCTATTGTTTTTGGGGTCAGTAGGTCAAAGGTCAAGGTCACACTGACCGTTGGTCAATTTCTCGTTTCCGGATGATAACTAGAGTTCCTTTAGACCTACAGACCTCAAACTTCATAGGATGATTGGTCTTATTGAGCAGATGATCCCTATTGTTTTTGGGGTCAGTAGTTCAAAGGTCAAGGTCACAGTGACCGTTGGTCAATTTCTCGTTTCCGGATGATAACTAGAGTTCCTTTTGACCTACAGCCCTCAAACTTCATAGGATGATTGGTCTTATAGAGCAGATGATCCCTATTGTTTTTGGGGTCAGTAGGTCAAAGGTCAAGGTCACAGTGACCGTTGGTCAATTTCTCGTTTCCGGATGATAACTAGAGTTCCTTTTGACCTACAGCCCTCAAACTTCATAGGATGATTGGTCTTATAGAGCAGATGATCCCTATTGTTTTTGGGGTCAGTAGGTCAAAGGTCAAGGTCACAGTGACCGTTGGTCAATTTCTCATTTCCGGATGATAACTAGAGTTCCTTTTGACCTACAACCCTCAAACTTCATAGGATGATTGATCTTATTAATCAAATGATCCCTATTGTTTTAATGGTCAGTAGGTCAAAGGTCAAGGTCACAGCCACCGTTGGTTAATTTCTCCTTTCCGGATGATAACTAGAGTTCCTTTAGACCTACAACCCTCAAACTTCATAGGATGATTGGTCTTATTGAGCAGATGATCCCTCTTGTTTATGGGGTCAGTAGGTCAAAGGTTAAGGTCACAGTGACCATTGGTCATTTTCTCATTTCCGGATGATAACTAGAGTTCTTATCAGTGAGGACATTTAACTATTATTGATATATCAGTGATATATCAGTTGTCTGGTTTTATATACTCCGTTCTTTTATCTCCATTTCCATTCCTGTTTCCATTCACAGTTATTCTCAGCAGTGGGGGAGACATGCGCTTTTTTACAAAAGCATCCTCTAGTTGAAATATAATGATGCACCATACATCAATATTTGCTTAAATATTTCATTCAAAGGTAAGCTGATATGATTCTAGTGTATATTTATTTACATCACAATGAGAGTTTTAGAATATTTCTAATAAGATTATGAAGAATGGTCAGTAACACTCACTTAGTATAAATATTTCAGGCTTTAGGGTTTGATTTGAATACCAAGGTGAATCTAAGTGAGTTGTCTGCTGCTCTAGAACAAGAGTTATTGAACCCAGAGGAGCAGAGTATAGTGTACCAGGCCGCACTAGCCTCATACCAGCAGGAAATGAGACATCTCAAGTAAGTTATATCTAAATAAAAGTTATTAAAATTTATAGTTGGTAACAGGTATACACAAATGCATACTTTGGTTGGGGTCAATTTATAGTGAGAAACCCCTTTGCAATTCAATGCTTGGCATTTATTTTAGTAAACAATAATTCCCATTGTTCAACAGTGTGTACGGTAGTACAGTTATGTTAAAAATTAAAATAAAAAAAATAGATTTTTAATTGATCTTATCCAATTAAACAGCTTTGTTGCCTTGTATTCATTTTTGAAATTAATGACTTGATTTATATAATTTAATTTGAAAGATGTCAGCTGTACTCTATGATAAATAGTGGATATTAAATGAGTGTAGGTTTAATACTAACTTTATTGAACGAGTTGAATAAAATTATATTATGCAAGCCTCTGGCAAGCATAATATTGTTTTATTCAACAAGTTCAATAAATTTAGTATTGAATCTACATGAATATAATATTCTATTTATCTTGTATATAAAATAAGAATGTTAAACTGTTAAAAGAGTCATTTTTCATTGACGCGCCTATAGTGTAACGCTAACATTAGCGCACTTTAACGCTATGTGTATATATAGCGCAAATGACGTCATGTCAAAGTAATAGAAAGAGCATCAAAGCACGAGGCTATCTGATTTGTACAAGGGGGCGTAGCCCCTGAGTATTAATCAGATGGCCGAGTGTTTTGGTGTTCTTTCTCTTTTGTATCATAGTCAAACATAAAAACAAGTTCCCTGTTGTCACAATATGAAACCTCAGAAAAAAGTTACCAATGAACGAGCATCTGAATATGACATTTCTGTCGCTTTCCCTTTCTCTGCTGTCATAATAAGTAAACCCCAGCAAAAATGAGCCAATCAATGGGAATGCTCTGGAGTGCGGGTAACTAATACCTGCACTCCAGTTAAGGCACTGTGCATGTATATGTATACCATTTAACTCTTACACAATTTCAACAGAAAGGTCCCCAAACTATGATACAAGTGTTATTACAATATCGTTTTTATAAAATGGCTTTATTACACTCCTGCGCCCAGGTTTATGTGATAAAAGAAGATGCTTATTTCATCTGTGATTATTGTAATGTATTCACATTAACACATAGCAAATTTACAACTTCATCTTTATTTATCATCATTGTGTATTTATATAAGAATATTGTATATACCTTTGATTTACAGATCAACCGTGGAGCAGGCTGTATGGGCTAAAGATAAATTAAAACTAGATCTAGCTGAAGCCAATGCAAGGAATTCTCTGCTAGCTAAGGAGGTAGATGAAAGACATGCTTCTATGGAAAAGTCTTCAGAATCTAAACTATTGTAAGTACACCTGATCAATATATTACATATCATGTGCTATTCTAGATGGTTTTTGGACTGATTTTACTGTTGTATTCAAGCACCTTGCATTAATTGATACAGCTGTCATTATTCTAATTATCATAGCTAATTGTTAGCAAAAAGTATGACATTCTGAGATCTTTGTGGTTTGTTGTATTAGACATTTTCTTAGACAGATTTAACAAGTTTAATGTAGAGATATAATTTAGTGAATTCATAAAACTTAAATTACTTGATACTTTAATTAAGTAGTGTCCAAATTTTGTAACAAGACTTAATTTGGTAAAAAAGCAGAAAAATTCTCTGAAAGTAATATAGACATTCTCAGTTTAAGCACAAAGTAACATAGAATTGAACATGAACATCAATTGAAATGAAAGTTAGGGCACATGATTCTATATTTTATTTATTTTCATTTCTGTTCACTTGATTGCAATGCAGATGATTTTACAAGAAAAGAGTAAAATGCACCATTACATTAGCTATTTTTGTTACTAACAATTATGTTTGCACATATTTTATATAGATAGGATAGACACAATTATCTCATTTAAGCAAATATCTTGAGACAATCTGTTTGTATCAAAGTTACCAATATCATACATATATATGAGAAAATAAACTAACATTTGAAAGAGAATTTTCTGGCTGACTTTTTCTGGCTGACTTCAAAGGAAGCTTAGAAATTGATAGAGTTTATCTTTCAACTAAACTCTATTAACTGCCTTGTCTCCTAAGGTTTGATCAAATATTTATAAAAATGCTTATGTTTTTTCTTATTCCAAAACTACAGATTTACTTTTTCAACTTTTATTTTTATTTAGATTCTTTTTATCACATAATGTAAGGTATAAACATTTATATAAAGTACAGGAAATGTGATGTTCTGTGAAGGGATTTGTTTAAGTGGGATATTGCTGTTATTGCACACTGTCTTATCATGCTCACTTAATGTAATATTTGTAAATGTTGTTAGCACATTGTTGTGTGGTATAAAATCTACATACATGTAAGTATGGCATGGCATTATTCATATACATGTATATTATCTAGTATTAAGCATGCAGTTATATTATTTATCATTATATATTATGTTACTTGTTTTTGTTATAAAATGTATTGAATGCATCAGGAGAGTATATCCAGTAACTTATAAATTGTTCAAGAAATCAGCATCTTGACTTCTGGACATTGGTATATATTACTTATTATTTCCAGTGATTTGTTTGAAGTCAACTTAATACTTACTTGCATTACTTGTAAGAATTAGTGGACATACTTAGAGTAAGTTGAAATTCTATCATAAAATAAGTAAAGATTCAAGTTAATGACATGAAACAGAATTTTGTTTAAAAAAGACTATCTTATATTTACAACATTTTAGCCTTTAATTTAGTTTAACTCATAACCTCCTGACTTTCATAAATGAACTTGTCCAGCTTTTTGGAACTGACCATTATCATTTTTAGCTCACCTGTCACAAAGTGACAGGGTGAGCTTTTGTGATCGCTTTTCGTCCGTCGTCCGTCTGTCCGTAAACTTTTACTTTAAATAACATCTCCTCATAAACCACTAAGCCAATTTCATCCAAACTTCACAGGAATGTTCCTTTGGTGATCACCTTTAAAAACTGTTCAAAGAATTTAATTCCATGCAGAACTCGGGTTGCCATGGCAACCGAAAGAAAAAACTTAAAATATCTTCTTCTAAAAAACCCAAAGAGCTAGAGCTTAGATATTTGGCATGAAACATGTTCTTATAAATGTCTACCAATTTTGTTCAAATTAAAGTCCTGGGGTCAAAATTGGCCCCGCCCCAGGGGTTCATTGATTTTCCCTATATGTATATAGTAAAAACTTAAAAAATCTTCTTTTAAAGAACCCAAAGAGCTAGAGCTAAGATATTTAGCATGAAGCATCTTCTAATGGGTGTCTACAAAGTTTTTTTCAAATAAAAGTCCTGTGGTCAAAATTGGCCCAGCCCCAGGGGGTCATTGATTTTTCCTATATGCATATAGTAAAAACTTAAAAATCTTCTTTTAAAGAACCGAAAGAGCTAGAGCTAAGATATTTAGCATGAAACATGTTCTAATGGAAGTCTACCAAGTTTGTTCAAATAAGAGCCCTGGGGTCAAAATTGGCCCCGCCCGGGGGACATTGATTTTCCTTATATGTGTATAGCAAAAACTAAAAAATCTTCTTCGAAAAAAACCCGAATAGCTAGAGTGTAGATATTAAACATGAAACATCTTCTAGTAAGTGCCTACAAAGATTGTTCAAATAAAAGCCCTGGGGTCAAAACTGGCCCTGCCCCAGGGGTGTCATTGTTTTTAAATATATGTGTAAAGAAAAAACTTAAAAAACTTCTTTTAAAAAATCCAACGAGCTAGACCTTTTATGTCTAGCATGAAACATCTTCTAATGGGTGTCTACCAAGTTTGTTCAAATAAAAGCCATGGGTTTAAACTGGCCCCGCTCCGGGGGGCCTATATACAGGTGAGCGACTTCAGGGCCATCATGGCCCTCTTGTTGGGTATATCAGGATGAAACTTTAAAGTTGGGTTAGCTGGCAGTATAGTCAGCTCTGACTGCATTGATGTACAGACTGGACTGGCACTATACTGCTGGCAAGGCAAATTAGTTCCAGAATGGAATAGGTTTAAAAACGCATCAAGTCAACGCATAAAATAAATTTATACAGTTTGCATTCACTCATGACAGTTCCATCCCAATTGTTAGTGTTATGCTTCCAGAATAATAACTCTTCTTAAAACATGGGTATTATCAGTGATTTTCAGTGAAATTAAATGTTTTGTTTGTAAAATATTTGAGGGGCAATACTTTATTCCTTACCATATTAAGTTACATTTAAATTTTTCAGTTTGTATTCTAGGGTAATATACTTTTGTATTATACTGTTTGTCTTTTTGGTTGTAGAGTTGATTTGTCAAGGTTTATTTTCATATGTTTTAAGATAACTATTTTCTTGTTATAGAGATTTGTCCATTATGGTTTATGTAGAACTTGATTGTTTTATCTTTTGTTTCTTGCTGATCAATTTTACCTTTTAGTTAACAATTTATCTTATATTGTTTAACTTATCTGACAAGCAGGTTTGTGAAGTAAGTATATGTTATAATGAATATTCTCAATTTTGCATCCATTCCCTGATGCACAAAATGATAACAAGACAAAAGAATGATACCATTGTGTTTCTCACAAAATCACATACATTTTGTTGAAGATTTCTATCCCAAGTTTGAAACCCTTCTGTAAAGTTATGAATTAACTCCCTTGTGTGTGTATATGCCAACCCTTATTTTAATGAATTATCAATTTACCATTAATACAGATAAGGTTAGATTTTAAGATTTGTCACATTTTGTAATGGTTTTCATTCATCAAAACTGATAACACCTGGTCACAACCTCTACAAAATCATGTTATAAATTGTTTTTGTTTAATTTTAAAGATGTTTGCTGTATGTACACAGAAAACTTTTATCACTAGGTTTAAACAAAGTCTTTTTATTTATTATATATAAACAGCATTGTTTATGATTTTATTGTCCGCCTTTATTTGCTCTAAAACCTTAAAATCCCCCTTCAAACAACTTATTGATACTTCAGTACAGACTTTTACAACGAATATGTCATCTATATAGTTTGACAGGTATGAACTACAAATTTAATGTCTTATTTATGACAAGAATTGTTGATTTGTTTCAGAAATTTACCAGTTATACAATACTTCATATTGTGAATATGTGAATGTTATCCATTAGTAACTTTTTATGAATGGGAAAAAACTGTTATGTGAATCTATGTGACATTTATATAAGTTTTGTAAGATGATAAATGAAACATCAGTTTTCACTGTGTTAACATACTTGAACATAGTTAATTAATATTTGTCTCTTTAAGAGATCTACAGAATACATTGTAGACATATTTAGTGTTTAATGTAGTATGTAAATAGATGAGGAGCAAATGCTGATGTTCAGGATTAACTTTGGAATTAATTATAATTATGTTGTCTTCATCAGAGTCAAGTGGTTATTTTATTTTTTGATAATATTTAGTGTTAATTAAATGTTTTCACCAGGTCTATAGAGCGCAAGTACCAGGAGCAGGTGAAACAATTACAAGGAGAGTTAGATAAAGAAAGGGAGAATTATTCTACATTCACTGCCAGTCATAAACTTAATATTGATGCAGAAATGGAGGAGTTGAGGAATGAGGAGGCAAAGCTACGGGAACATCTTGTTCAAGCTCAAAAAGTAAGTGAGCCGTGTCACGACAAAACCAACATAATGGGTTTGCGACCAGCATGGATCCAGACCAGCCAGCGCATCCGTGCAGTCTGATCAGGATCCATGCTGTTCGCTTACCAACTGTATTACAAGTAGAGAATCTGATAGCGAACAGCATGGATTCTGATCAGACTGTGCGGATGCGCAGGCTGGTCTTGATCCATGCTGGTTGCAAACCCACTATGTTGGTTTTGTCATGACATGGCTCAAGTCACATTTCTATTGTTTTGTTTCAGCTTTTTTATTTGCAATAAATTATGACACAAGTTCTTAAGTTTATACAAATGAATCTTGAGTAATGGCAAACACCTTTGCTGCTAGGACAGCACTTCCTTTTATATTTTTTGCAATATTTGATATACTTTCATTTTGACATATTATTTGAATTACTGTTTGAATTACTGAACAGTAAAGTAGAAAAATATTACTTTTTTTTAAAAATGATTGGAATCTACAATAGCTGGTGTTAGATAATGCTTACAAGTGTTGGAAATGTGGATGCAGAAATGTTGCTTTGTTAAATTGTGGATTTACTCACTATTTTATAAAAATGTTAATAAATATTCTTTCTATAAGAGAAATTGAATTCTACTCTTTGACCTTGAAGATACAAGGACATGTTGTAAATTTGAAGGTAATTACTAATTGAAGTGTTTTATTGGTCACTGGTCAGTCAGTCATTAAAATAAGATAGCAGTCTTAAAGATAATGATGCTTGTACAAACAAGTTTCTTTGCTACGCCCACTGACAAGATGTTTGTTTTTCTTGAAATCATCATTTTGTCTTTTGAGTAAATCATTGAAACATCATTGTGTTAATTATGTTATTTGAGTTACAGTTTTTTTGCAGGACTGCTGATATCTTTTTATACCTGTTATTTGTCATGGTTTTTGATTATTTTAATTCTGTTTCTAAGGAGATAGAAAAACAAGGTCATGAACTTGAAGAGGTAACAGGACAACTTGATGAATCAGAGAAACAATGTCAAAGGTTACAGAGGGAGTTAGAAAATGTTGAAGATATTCATAGAAAGGTAAGATAAAAAATTAAATTTTGATTTAACTTGACATTATATTGAGCACTATTAAAAAATTGGTTCTTGTTTTAAATAGATTGCCTGAAACTTAAAAGCATATGAATTGTGAATTTAAGTTTGCTGCGTTTTTATTTGAGTGTGCTTAAACCAAGTTTGAATGAGAATAAGGTATTAAATAGATGAATTTTTAGAATGATCTTTTGTTGTTTTTCATAAAAGCTTGCTGAGTATGAAGGTACAGGGTTGCTTAGTCCAGAAGAACAAAAATTTACTCAGGAAAAATTACAGCGAATTGAGCAAGAAAATAAGGTAAATTATTCAATTATACATGTAATAAGAGTATGAAGTAGAAAAAAATGTTCATTGTCTGTTGTATCTTGTCAAATAATATCAACCACTTGGCCCTCACCGCTGTGGGTTCAAATCCCGACAGAGACTTAGGATTCTTTCCTGTGAGGGGTCTATCCATCTGGCTGACTTAGCGTCGGTGGCTCTACTCAGGTGCCTGTTTCTGCCCAAAATACTGCATGGAGGAGCCTCTACCAGTAAAGCTGGAAAGTCCCCATATGACTATACTTTAATGGTGCGATGTAAAAACCCAATAACAACAAATAAAAAGAGATAATATCAAAGTATTTGTAAAGTTTATTAAATTGTTTCTTCACACATCCGAATCAGTTTAAGATCTCAGCCATACAGCAGCTCAACAAACTTTGTGTCATACGAAATGATGATACAGTAGTTCATTTAGGTCATTTATTATGCAACATTGTTTTGATTATACAACATATGTATTATTACTCAAGTGTTTGGAATATACTGAATCCGTATCTTGTCTAAGCTTTTTATAAATGCATTATAAAAAGATCATCTCAGGCAACTTTAATAAGCTTACATTAGTAAAAGTTATCAGGATTATTCTTGACCCCCAAAGCCATTATTTTCTACATAAAACTGTTTAAAAAATAGCAAAATTACAAGATTGTCATGAGTCTTGAATTATTCAACATTCTGTTATGAGGTAATAAGAGTGTATATATATTTGACCTTACAGGAGTTAAAGGATCATAATGATGAGTTAACAGTAGAGATAGAGCAGATGAAACAACAGATAACGCCATTACGTAAACCTAGTGACATGTCCTCTGATACACATACACCCATCAGGAAACATGGATCTATCATGTCTGATTATATCAAACCGGTTATCGTCAGAAATCAATGCTCCTCTTCTGCTGGTAATGTTATTTTCCTTTATGTATCAACTGAGGAAGCTGAATAAAGCGAAACATGTTTTTGATACTTAAATTTGTGTTGGTTTTTTGATCCAATTGTCCTATTATACCTGAAACAAATTCATATTTCATGTATAGTTAATCTTTGAGATAATAAATTGTAAAATTCTTAAACATGATCATCTATGCTCTGATAATTGTATTGTAGAAAAGTATATGTTTAGTATATGATATAATGGTTGGCTTGACCTAGAATGCATTCACAAAATATTGACATGTTATATTGCTGAACATTTTAACAATAAATTTGTTAAAACATGTATATAATGCTTTTCAAATTCATGTAACAAAGTGGTCACCTTATTGTTATATACATGTATACATTGTTTACAAATCTAAAGCTGTTTCTTGTGTACATGTAAGTTACATACCAAATGAATAACTGGCCAACAATTTGTAAAAACTTGCAATTTTCTGGTCAGTTTACTGACTGTGCTATATGGTAGTGGATATTATTTTGCATTGTTAATTACCATCTGAATAGTTCAACACATTGTGATATTTTATATATGCTTTCAATTTCAGAGTTTTCCGATGATGAACCTCATAGTAGAGGTCGCGGCTTGCCTTCCACTGAGCACGATGATGATGATATAAGTAAGTTTATATCATGTTAAAATTACACACTATATATTAACAAGATTAAATTAATTATTTTATGAAAAAGTACATTAACCCTTTACACTGCTAGATATGTAATTCGCCAGAAATATTTCTAAAAAATTCCAGGAATTTTACTATAAAAGATGGATGTATTTTATTTATATTTCCTTTATGTATAAAACCTATTCTTATATAGAAGAAATGAAACAGTGTTAAGAGATTTTTGTTTCTACATCAAAAAACTGTTATGCCAATTAAAAGCCTTTATGATAATGTTTATTTGTTGTATAAAAAAATGATACCAATATTGAAAATATAAGCATCAGTTTAATATATATTGGACAATTAATTGATATTAAGTATATGGGATAATTGAGTCATTGATTTCTTGTCACATGTAACATTATCTCTGTCACCATGATTATATTGGAATTCTTGCATTGATTTTATCATCTCTGTCCTGTACATGCTTAGTTCACAATCTTAAAAAGGATCTGGCTAAGTTAGGAATAACTTATGGCAAAGGTAGGTTACAGCGATGTCCCATATTAGTCTCTGCATTGATTATACATTTATATTTATTTATTCATTTTATATTAAGCTCAAAGATGTTTTCATATTTTGTTTGTTTACTGTATAGATTTATGTTGCATTGTTTAGTGTTGTTTTATATGGTTTTGTTTATACACTGGTTTCAGGGATTAGATTATTCAAAGCTGCACATAGAAAATCATCCACAGGTATAGGATACTATAGTAATGTGCTAACTTTAGTTCAGTTTGCAACCTAACTTTTACATATTAACAAATCCTAACAAAATATGTCAAACAGTCTGTAAAATCATGCCAACTACATTATCAAATTTTGAGTTTATTTATGATGGTAAGATGCTTCGTATTAGTTAGAACAGCCACAAATTCATTAAATGTATTGTGTTGGGTTTTAATACTTTTAATATTTTCCTTATACCTTCAAAATGAAATATTTAAGATTCTAAAATTTAACTGTATTTTATAATTAATGAAACTGACATTGTTTGTCTGTTTGTCTGTAATGAATTAAAAAATATTTCAAATACTGATAAATAGACCACTTTGTATTTTTTCCTGACATTTCCATCTTTGCAATAATATAGTGATAAGAAATATGATGCAATAGAAATTATTATCTGGGAGAATATTTAAATAACATGCAGTATCATACACATGTTTGCATTAGTCTAGTAATTAATCTAGCAATTAGTTTAGTATTTAATATGTTATTGTAGCTTATAGAAATGATTAAAATGTTGGTTTGAAGTACACAGCTGGATAATTCACTTTAGTTGATGATACCTGTTGTTTAAACAATGTATACATGTGATTTACTGTTCAATTTAAGTTTTAGATTAGAGGTATAGAAAAAAATAACCTTATTACTTGTTTGTTTATTTAACCTATCATATGTTACACAATCAAAAACAGTCATATAACAAGAATGATATGATATCATAATTGTCCCTTAATAACATGCTGCCAATAACTGATTCTAATCATCCTACCGGTGCAGACCCAGATCGTCTGTGACACCTGATTGTGGTCTGCACTGATGACTGTTCATTCAGTGAATAGTTTGAAATTTCCTTAAAGTAATTAAAGCTTTTGTCCAGACAAGTTCTTGTAAGATACTTAGTGTAGTACAGGTTAATTTACAGACCCAAAACATTAGTTCCTCTGTTGCATCTTGTTTGTAGCTGTGTCATACATGCTGAAATCTCTGTTATATTGGATTACATAATATTCAAATCCAAATGATTTAGTTCGGAAATATATATATAATTAATGTGAAATAGTTATTTCAATTATATTTTTAGCTCACCTGTCACAAAGTGACAGGGTGAGCTTTTGTGATCGCTTTTCGTCCGGCGTCCGTCCGTCGTCCGTCCGTCCGTCCGTAAACTTTTACTTTAAATGACATCTCCTCATAAACCACTAAGCCAATTTCATCCAAACTTCACAGGAATGTTCCTTTGGTGGTCACCTTTAAAAATTGTTCAAAGAATTTAATTCCATGCAAAACTCTGGTTGCCATGGCAACCGAAAGAAAAAACTTTAAATATCTTCTTTTAAAAAACCATAAGAGCTAGAGCTTAGATATTTAGCATGAAACATCTTCTAGTGAGTGTCTACCAAGTTTGTTCAAATAAAAGCCCTGGGGTCAAAATTGGCCCCGCCCCGGGGGGTCATTGATTTTCCCTATATGCATATAGTAAAAACTTAAAAAAATCTTCTTTTAAAGAACCCAAAGAGCTAGAGCTAAGATATTTAGCATGAAACATGTTCTAATGGGTGTTGTCTACCAAGTTTGTTCAAATAAAAGCCCTGGGTGAAAATTGGCCCCGCCCCGGGGTCATTGATTTTCCCTATATGCATATAGTAAAAACTTAAAAAATCTTCTTTTAAAGAACTCAAAGAGCTAGAGCTTAGATATTTAGCATGAAACATCTTCTAGTGAGTGTCTACCAAGTTTGTTCAAATAAAAAGCCCTGGGGTCAAAATTGGCCCCGCCCCAGGGGTCATTGATTTTCCCTATATGCATATAGTAAAAAACTTAAAAAATCTTCTTTTAAAGAACCCAAAGAGCTAGAGCTAAGATATTTAGCATGAAACATGTTCTAATGGGTGTCTACCAAGTTTGTTCAAATAAAAAGCCTAGGGTGAAAATTGGCCCTGCCCCGGGGGTCATTGATTTTCCCTATATGCATATAGTAAAAACTTAAAAATCTTCTTTTAAAGAACTCAAAGAGCTAGAGCTTAGATATTTGGCATGAAACATCTTCTAGTGTGTGTCTACCAAGTATGTTCAAATAAAAAGCCCTGGGGTCAAATTGGCCCGCCCCGGGGGTCATTGATTTTCCCTATATGCATATAGTAAAAACTTAAAAAATCTTCTTTTAAAGAACCCAAAGAGCTAGAGCTAAGATATTTAGCATGAAACATGTTCTAATGGGTGTCTACCAGGTTTGTTCAAATAAAAGCCCTGGGTGAAAATTGGCCCCGCCCCGGGGGGTCATTGATTTTCCCTATATGCATATAGTAAAAACTTAAAAAATCTTCTTTTTAAAGAACTCAAAGAGCTATGGCTAAGATATTGAGCATCAAACATGTTCTAATAGGTGTCTACCAAGTTTGTTCAAATACAAGCCCAGGGGTCAAAATTGGCCCCGCCCGGGGGTCATTGATTTTCTTTATATGTGTTTAGCAAAAAACTTTAAATCTTCTTTGAAAAAACCCAAATAGCTAGAGTTTAGATATTAAGCATGAAACATCTTCTAGTAAGTGTCTACAAAGTTTGTTCAAATAAAAGCCCTGGGGTCAAAACTGGCCCTGCCCCAGGGGTGTCATTGTTTTTTAACTATATGTGTATAGTAAAAACTTTAAAAAAATCTTCTTTTAAAAAGCCCAATGAGCTAGAGCTTAAATGTTTAGCATGAAACATCTTCTTATGGGTGTCTACCAAGTTTGTGCAAATAAAAGCTCTGGGTTAAATTGGCTCTGCAACGTTGGGGGGGGGGGGGCCTATATACAGGTGAGCGACCTCAGGGCCATCATGGCCCTCTTGTTATGATAGCTAGCATTTTTTTAAATACTTTATTTTTCAACTCAAATATTTTATGATTTTTGAATGTTGAAAGAACAAATGATTTGTTTGTTAGCTTAAGCTTGACAAATAAAGTAGGGGTGTTTTCTTATTAGCTCACCTGTCACAAAGTGACAGGGTGAGCTTTTGTGATCGTTTTTCGTCCGGCGTCCGGCCGTCCGTCCGGCGTCCGGTCGTCCGTCCGCATCCGTAAACTTTTACTTTAAATGACATCTCCTCATAAACCACTAGCCAATTTCATCCAAACTTCACAGGAATGTTCCTTTGGTGGTCACCTTTAAAAATTGTTCAAAGAATTTAATTCCATGCAGAACTCTGGTTGCCATGGTAACCGAAAGAAAAAACTTTAAATATCTTCTTTTAAAAAACCCAAAGAGCTAGAACTTAGATATTTGGCATGAAACATCTTCTAGTAAGTGTCTACCAAGTTTGTTCAAATAAAAGTCCTAGGGTCAAAATTGGCCCCGCCCCAGGGGGTCATTGATTTTCCCTATATACATATAGTAAAAACTTAAAAAAATTCTTCTTTTAAAGAACCCATGGAGCTAGAGCTAAGATATTTAGCATGAAACATCATCTAGTAAGTGTCTACCAAGTTTGTTCAAATAAAAGCCCTGGGGTCAAAATTGGCCCCGCCCCAGGGGGTCATTGATTTTCCCTATATGCATATAGTAAAAACTTAAAAAATCTTCTTTTAAAGAACCCATAGAGCTAAAGCTAAGATATCTAGCATGAAACATCTTCTAATAAGTGTCTACCAAGTTTGTTCAAATTAAAGCCCTGGGGTCAAAATTGGCCCGCCCCAGGGGTCATTGATTTCCCTATATGCATATATAGTAAAAACTTAAAAAATCTTCTTTTAAAGAACCCATAGAGCTAGAGCTAAGATATTTAGCATGAAACATCTTCTAATAAGTGTCTACCAAGTTTGTTCAAATAAAAGCCCTGGGGTCAAAATTGGCCCCGCCCCAGGGGGTCATTGATTTTCCCTTTATGCATATAGTAAAAACTTAAAAAACCTTCTTTTAAAGAACCCAAAGAGCTAGGTCTAAGATATTTAGCATGAAACATGTTCTAATGGATGTCTACAAAGTTTGTTCAAATAAAAGCCCTGGGATCAAAATTGGCCCCGCCCCAGGGGGTCATTGATTTTTCCTATATGCATATAGTAAAAACTTAAAAAATCTTCTTTTAAAGAACCCATAGAGCTAGAGCTAAGATATTTAGCATGAAACATCTTCTAATAAGTGTCTACCAAGTTTGTTCAAATAAAAGCCCTTGGGTCAAAATTGGCCCCGCCCCAGGGGGTCATTGATTTTCCCAATATGCATAAAGTAAAAACTTAAAAAATCTTCTTTTAAAGAACCAAAGAGCTAGAGCTAAGATATTTAGCATGAAACATGTGCTAATGGGTGTCTACAAAGTTTGTTCAAGTAAAAGCCCTGCGGTCAAAATTGACCCGACCCCGGGGTCATTGATTTTCCTTATATGTGTATGGCAAACACTTAAAAATCTTCTTTGAAAAAACCCAAATAGCTAGAGTTTAGATATTAAGCATGAAACATCTTCTAGTGAGTGTCTACAAAGTTTGTTCAAATAAAAGCCCTTGGGTCAAAATTGGCCCCTCCCTGGGGGTCATTGATTTTCCTTATATGTGTATGGCAAACACTTAAAAATCTTCTTTGAAAAAACCCAAATAGCTAGAGTTTAGATATTAAGCATGAAACATCTTCTAGTAAGTGTCTACAAAGTTTGTTCAAATAACAGCCCTGGGGCTTAAACTGGCCCCGCCCCAGAGGTGTCATTGTTTTTAACTATATGTGTATAGTAAAAACTTAAAAAATCTTCTTTTAAAAAACCCAATGAGCTAGAGGTTAGATTGCAGGAAACATCTTTTTGTGGGTGTCTACCAAGTTTGTTCAAATAAAAGCCCTTGGGTTAAAATTGGCCCTGCAAAAGGGGGGGGGGGGAGGTCATTTTTTTTCATTATATGTGTGTAGTAAAAACTTAACATCTTGAAACATCTCCTAATGAGTGTCTTCTAAGTTTGTTCAAATATGAGCCCTGGGGTTTAAACTAGCCCCGCTCCGGGGGCCTTAATACAGGTGAGCGACCTCAGGGCCATAATGGCCCTCTTGTTTATTTAATATTACTTTAATCTATGATGGTATTTAAGAACATTTTTTCAATATCACTTTAAAAGAAAATGTAGAGAAATCAAGACAATGCTTATTTTCATTGATTGAAAAAGCAGTTTCAAAGTCTGAATTTAAATACTTTATTTTTTTTCAGCATTATATATTATAATTACAGTGTATATCTATCATTTTTAGTATATCAGTTTGATGCTTCTATATCTTTGCAAAAATGGCCGCTTTTTTATAAAATCCTTGCTGGTAGTTGTTACTGGCAGTTAAATCAACCACTTTGTGAGGATAATATAGAGTTTGATTGTTATATTATCAGGTGTTGGTAGTACTGGAGATAAGGAGGTTATAGAAGAGTTAAGGAAAGAACTACAAGAACTCAAGGATCATTTTGATATAGAGAGACGGGAAATAGAACAAGCCCATAGACTAGAAATAACAGACATTGAAGAAAGACAGGATCAGGAAAAAGGTGATCTGCTCAACCATATAGAGAGAGAAAAGGTATGACTAAAGCTGAATGTCTTGAATCTCAGATATATATTTTCTGTTAATGTAGATTAATATAGAACTATGTGTGTAACTGTATTTCTTGATTTAACAATAGAATGTATGAGGATCAAGTGTTTTATTTTGAATGACAGTTGTAGTCAAGTGGATATAGTGTCTGTCTCAATCTAGAACTTATGGGTTACAACTTCACTGGTGTCTCGGCCATGTTTTTACATATAACATTAGTACTGATAAGTTTCAACTAGTAGATTCAAAATTGCTTCAAATAAATTTCAAACATTCTCCACTATTTACTAGTAACTATAATGAATATTTTAAGCTAAGTAGGTTTGCATGCATTTAGACACAAGATATTTCACTAAAAAGTGTAGGACTTAATATAGTTGATCTGCAAAATGTATACCCGATGTGGACAAGCTATGATAGAAATTAGCTTTTAAGGAGTATTAAGATTGTATGTAAATGCTGTTGTTATTTTGGTGTTTTCAGGTAAAGATATCAGATGATTTTGAGAGATTACAACAACAGGCATTATCAGAACTAGCAAGGGAATTGCAGACCAACTTTGCCCATGAGAAGGAAGACCTCATACTGAAACATGAATCTGAGAAGAACCACTTACAACAAAAGTTCATAGAAGAGACAGATAGACTAAGAGAAAAGTAGGAATTCAGTAGTATTTATTATTGTAATTTTTAACTAAATAAATATACCATAATAACTAATGATAGCATAAAAATGTTTTGTAAAGTCCTTTAACATTCATGTTTTTCCAATGATGAAAAGAAGCAAGACTTGAATACAAAGCATTGAATGTTAAAATAATGAATAGGACCTTTATATATTAAGCAGTCAGCAACCATTTTCACATTTCAGAATCAACACATATAAAGTTAAGGTAATGATGCTTTACCAAGGAAAATGTGACACTTTTTATCCATAAGGTTCTTTAAATTTGACAAACTTTGGTATAAATATCAATATGCAAAATGCATACGAAAATTTCAGTGATATTTAAACATACTTTTTTAGGACAGGTTAATCCCAAATTATTCACTATTTGGCAAATAACATTAAAGTTGATGTATATAAAAAAGTCTTAAAAAGAAAATAGCAAGAAACACAATGAAATAAAATGAAACTAGAGTCAAAGATACATAATGTTATTTCTTTCAAAGAAGTTAGGGATAGTTTTTCAAATAATTTCTTTTGATAGATTGGAATCAGAGCATCAGGAAGAATTAGAGAGTCGTATAGAGGAAGTGAGGTCGGTTTGTGAGCAGGAAAGATTCCAGGTGGAGGAGGCTTTAGCTGAAGCACAACCTATTGTAAATGATCTGGAGGAACAAAACACACAACTACAGCAAAAACTCTCTGAACAAAAAGAGCTGAATACTCAGCTAACACAAAAACTTGCCAAACAAAAGGATTTGATTCACGAATTAGAACAGAACCTTGAGGATCAAAGCACTCAGTCTCAAAAGAAACTAGCCAAACAGAAAGCACATGATACACAGCTGGAAGAAACTCTTGAGGAAGAAAATACTCAGCTGAAAGTAAAACTGTCAAAGCTTAAGGAACAAAACACATTGCTGGAACAGAAACTTGTAGCACAAAATGAGCAGTGTGAAAACCTGAAACAAACACTTGATGAACAGAAGTCAGCACTTGAACTGAAACTTAGCAAAGAGAAAGAAGAAAAAATAAAACTTGAAGAAAACACTGAGGAACAAACGAAAAATCTTCAACATAAACTCACCAAACTAAAGGAGTTTAACACACAGCTTGAACAAACACTTGCCCAACAGAAGGAAGAAAGTGATACAGAATTGAAAAGACAAAAAGCAGAAATGGAAGGAATGTTAACTAGACATATGCAAAAGCTTGAGGATGTTGAACGACAGAAACATGAAATAGAATTACATTATAAGAAAGGTTACAATGACACAGAACTATCATTTAGAAAGGAGAAAATGGATCTGACCAATGAAATAGACAGGCAGTCTCAGGATATCAGAGAGCTACAGAGACAGAAAGCAGAGTTAGAATTAGAGCTAAAACAACAGAGAGATGAGCTTGAGCTCTCATTTAGACAAGAAAAACAAGAGATTTTAGAGCTCTATGAAGAAAAGATCAGAGAGATGGAACAGAAACTAATCGAGTCAGAGAAAGCACAGGATAATCTGCTGAAGGAGGTAAAATAATCAGGCAATATTTACTTAACTACATAATTACTTGATAGAAGCAAAAATCAATTAAGCTTACTGCTGTTAGGTCAATAGATAATATTAATTGTAACAATACAGATCATAAATTGCCAATATTTATTGTAACCATACAGTTCTTAAATTGCCGTTTCTCCCTTTTTTATGCCCCCGCCATGTAATGGCTGGGGCATATAGTGTTACCCTGTTCCGTCCTTCCGTCCTTCCGTCATTCCGTCATTCCGTCCTTCCGTCATTCCGTCATTCTGTCATTCCGTCATCATCAGTTTCCGTGCATTATCTTAGTAACGGTTGCACATATTCAACTCAAATTTAACATATGGATATGTCATGAGTAAATACAGGTCAAGTTTGAATTTGGTCATGGTTCGATGATTTTTGGCAGAGTTATGCCCCTTTTACTTTGAAAATAATATGAAATTTTCAGTTTCCGTTTATTATCTCCCCAACGGTACAACACATTCAACTCAAACTTGACATATGGATATGTCATGAGAAAATACAGGCCAAGTTCGAATTTGGTCATGGTTCGATGATTTTTGGCAGAGTTATGCCCCTTTTACTTTGAAAATAATGTGAAATTTTCAGTTTCCGTTCATTATCTCCCCAACGGTACAACACATTCAACTCAAATTTGACATATGGATATGTCATGAGAAAATACAGGTCAAATTCGAATTTGGTCATGGTTCAACGATTTTTAGCAGAGTTATGCCCCTTTTACTTTGAAAATAATATGAAATTTTCAGTTTCCGTTCATTATCTCCGCAACCGTACAACACATTCAACTCAAATTTAAAATATGGATATGTCATGACAAAATACAGGTCAAGTTCGAATTTGGTCATGGTTCGATGATTTTTGGCAGAGTTATGCCCCTTTTACTTTGAAAATCATATGAAATTTTCAGTTTCCGTTTATTATCTCCCCAACGGTACAACACATTCAACTCAAACTTGACATATGGATATGTCATTAGAAAATACAGGCCAAGTTCGAATTTGGTCATGGTTCGATGATTTTTGGCAGAGTTATGCCCCTTTTACTTTGAAAATAATGTGAAATTTTCAGTTTCCGTTCATTATCTCCCCAACGGTACAACACATTCAACTCAAACTTGACATATGGATACGTCAAAGGAATGCCCAGGTCAAGTTCAAATTTGGTCATGGTTCAATGATTTTTGGCAGAGTTATGCCCCTTTCACTTTGAAAGTAATATGAAATTTTCAGTTTCCGTTTATTATCTCCCCAACAGTACAACACATTCAACTCAAATTTGACATATGGATATGTTTTTGGAATGCCAGGCCAAGTTGGAATTTGGTCCATGGTTCAATGATTTTTGGGCAGAGTTTATGCCCCTTTCACTTTGAAAATAATATGAAAATTTACAGTTTCTGGTCCATTATCTACCCAACAGTGTTACATATTCAACTTAAATTTGACATATGGATATGTCAAAGGAATGGGCAGGTCAAGTTGAAATTTGGTCATGGTTTGATGATTTTTTTTGGCAGAGTTATGTCCCTTTCACTTTGAAAATAATTATAGATACATCTTAGGAATAAGCAGTTTAAGTATGAATTTGGTTGTGGTTCAATGATTTTAGACAAACTTATCTTTCCTGAATGTTGGAAAAATTTTGTACTTTCAGTTTCAGCACTCATACTTTTAGCCATTATTTTGGCTACAAATATGAAATATGTTATTTTTAAAAGGTTAAGACTGAATAATTTCAGTGTCTTGAACAATGTATGAAAATGGTTTGTGTTAACATTTTAAAGTTTTAAGGGCTTTGAACTTAAAATGAAAAAAATAATTAATGCACCATCTGAAATTTTGGCTGCATGCGGGGGCATCCGTGGCATGATGACACATTTCTAGTTTTTGGATAGTTTTCATTGTGAAAGGAGTCTGTTTTTATTTTTTGAAAGTGTTTGTTCTTTATAATGGTGCTTTGTTGCAGGGTGTAGATTCACTTTATGGTAAACTGAAGGACGACTTTTATAGACTGTTGGATGATGCAACCAAAGCTAAACTTGCTGAGGAGAAGAAGAAATTAGATGAAAACCTTAAAAAAGAAATGGAAGCAAATTTTGATACCAAGAAATCTGAACTGAGTAATTGTTTTTAATTAATAACTGATTGACTAGTAATTACTGTTGACATTTGAGTGTATTTGCACTAATTGGCTTTGATGACAATGAAAATGGTATTATGTTGAAGAACATATCAATATCTGCTGTACATTGTTAAAAGAGATAGGATATGAAAGCTTTATTGTGAAAGTAAACTTAAATAATTTACATTTTCTAGCATTTCACTATTGTTTGACCTTAATTTCAGATATATCATTGATATAAACAAAAACTTTAGTATGACTGACAAAGTTGTGATCTGCAATCTTAGATATATGGTTCTAATGCAAAAGGGCATAACTCTATTTTATATAGCTATATTAAGAGACAAAATAGAACATGTATTGAGAAGGTGTGTGTAAAATCTCATTACTATTACAGGTCATTTATTTGAGAAAGAGAGGACAGAGTTAGTGGAGAGATATGAGGGACAGATTGAGGGTATGAGACAGGAGTTAGGTAGATTACAGGATAAACTAGATGAGGAGAGGGAGATACTGGCACAAAGATTTGACAGTGAGAAAGATGGAATTGAGGAACAATTGGCTCAACAATTGAGGGATGAACTAGAGGTAATTGATGTTTGATTGACTTCTGTTGATTTAAAAATTCTTAAAGCAAACTGGTATAGTATGTATTTTATCTTTTCTCTGATGGATGGTACAAGTTAAAAATGTTTTTCTCTTGGTATATAAGATAACAGTACCCAATTATTATATATTTTATGACAATATTGTAATGCAAGAAATTGCATCATTTTGAAAAGTTTTTTTGCATACTTTACTGCAATGACTCATATAAATATTTAATATATTCTTATAAAAAAAATTAAATGCTTCTGCTCGAAAAGTTGAAATAATAGAGTTGAAATTGAAAAAAAAAAGTATTAATGATAGGTCATCAATACAATAGATTAAAATATTTATATTCCTGAAATATCCATTGATTATGTTGTAAATGTAAGTAGTATACTGAAAATGTAAGTTTTTCCTATGTTTTATGTTAACCTGTATTCCTATTATTGTGTGGCCAGTCTTGTAAATGGAAGAAAAGGGTTAGATTAAGTCAGAAATACCTGAAGAAAAACAAAGAGGTAAAAACAGTATTGTTTTGTATCACCCTCACAATGAGGTAAAGATTGTATTATTATATCACACCCTCACATAAGGATGCTATATGCTATACATGATACTTGCATGCCAACAATTAATGTTGAAATATGTCAGTTTGTTTCTTTATGATGACCTTTCACATACGAAATATAACCATCAGATTATTAGATCAGATTAAAAAACAACAACAACAAAAATAATAATAAGTATAAGAATATGAATAAGTAATGATTTATGAACTACTTGAGTATAAAATGAAATATGCATGACATAATAAAATCATCATACATTTGTTTATTCCTATCACATGTAGCTCATGTACTGGATTATAAATTTGTATCATATTGTGATGTAAGTATATCTCCAAAAAAATGTTTGGAAGACATGTTTGCCTTTTCCATCTGTCCACCTGTCTCCATCTGTCCATCTCATTCTTCATTAACAATGTCCAGCTTTCACAGATCAAACTGCTGGCTGGATTTTGACCTAACTTTATGGGATTGATCAGTATCCAAGTCTAGTTGAGCATTTTGCTGCCACATTGCTCTGTGCTGCTCAAAATTGCCCTGCAGCTAAAAATAGAAAGAAAACTTGTCTGGATTTTAGTGTCAAACTGTTGGTAGGATTTCCATTTGCTGTTCTTTTCTTAGAGTACATATGGGAGCAACATATGTTTCAATGACAAATCTGATATTCTATGTTTGTATTTCCTGTCATTTGATCACATTACCTCTGGGACTGTACTCAACAAGTTTATCTAAGAATATTTTGATGACATTGACAAAAAATGAAATATGTTATTGTTTAACTTGTGTTGATGGAAAGAGTTTAATTGTTCACAATTCTGAATATATGTTTGTCAAATATTCGACAAATGTAGCGCCTTTTCTAAGTGGTGTTTTTGATAAATCTTGTAAAGTTATTATTTTAAAGTCATGAGCTAGGTAGGGACACATAAATGTATGCATGCATGTATTCACGCAATATAATGTAAAATATGTTAAAAATCTCACTGATATAGAAACTATGTGAGTTTTGCATTTGTACTGTTGATAAGTATCGCATTTATTTTTCATTTTCCTATATGGATATTTAAAAAAAAAGATTTTTATGTGTACTTTTTGAACAAAGGCAAGACTTCTGTCCATATGAATAAATCAGTATTTCTATTTCTGTACAAATTCAAAATGTTTTCTTGTTTGATATGAAATTTAAATAACTTGTTGTTTTTTTTCTGCAAGGTATTTGCAATTTAAACAGAAATATATGTGGCCTAACCTTTGATCAAATCTTCAATGCTGTACTGATGGTGTGCAGAGTTACTGGACTGCTCTATACATTGTCATTCTTATAAGTGTTAAGAACCATTTGAGCCGCGCCATGACAAAACCAACATAATACAGTCTGATCAGGATCCATGCTGTTCGCTTACCAACCCTATTACAAGTAGAGAAACTGATAGCGAACAGCATGGATTCTTATCAGACTGCGCAGATGCGCAGGCTGGTCTGGATCCATGCTGGTCGCAAACCCATTATGTTGGTTTTGTCGTGACACGGTTCATTTATCTTTATTACAGGAGGAGTTTGTGCAGCAGATGGAGGAGATCAGAGATGCCTATGATGAAGAGAAGCATGAGTACGAAGCTCAGGCAAACCTCCTCAGACAGGAAGTTGAGGAACTGCAGAGTGCTCTAGATGATGAAGATAAAAACAGAAAGAAAATAGATGAACTGAAGAAGGCAAATAATAAACTACAACAAGAAAGAAGACTGGTACATGCTTAAATTATTTGTAATGTTTAGGAAAAGGGGCCGTCTGTGGCCCAGTGGTTACTTAAGGTCGTTGACTTCAAACCACTTGCCCCTTACCGCTGTTGGTTTGAATTTGGACAGGGACATTGGATTCTTTCATGTGGGGAAGCTTTCCAGCTAGCTTAGGGAACATTGGTTGTTTTACTTAGGTGCCTGTTCGTTCCTGAAATAATGCACAGAAGGGCATGTGAGGTCTTCCTCCAGCAGTAAAGCTGGAGCGTTGCCATATGATAACCTCTACTGTGTGGGTGTGAGATAAAACTCAATCAAACAAACATTTAGGAAAAAGCCTAGGAGGTCTTATTAAGCATTATTAGAATTATTGAATCTCTATTGGTTTATTTTTTGTATTTGGATACTTATTCCTTTATTAATGTTTGTGGAATCATGTTAGATCAGGTACATTCTAATGAAATATTAAACAAAATTGAGTTATGTTAGCATGGTGAGAAAATTTGATTTTTCTTATGAATACATGTAGATAGTAAAAAGAAGTTATAGAGTAAAAGAATTTTATAAAACTTTATTTTTGATATTTACAGGCAGAGAAAGGACAAATAGAAATGCAAAAAGCTCTAGAAAGCACCAAACAGGCATTAGAAGCCCGCATTGATGAGTTAATGGCAGAGAAAGAAGGGGCTATAACTGCTGTTAAAACAGAATTTGTTGAGTCTTCCAAACAGAGTGGCAAGGATAAGGTATAGGTCTTACAAGATATCAGTTTAATTGCTGTGCTCTTTTGTCAAATTGTGTGTAACTTTAAAGAATATGTGAATGACATTTGTTTTACAGATTTTGTTAATATAAAGACATTAAAAATTGTTCAAGTTGATGTCTTTACCACTTTCTTTGTATACAATTCATGCATTGAAATCATGCATTATGTCAATGATTTTTAGTACTTTTACCTGATTGAACCAATTAACATATATGATAAACGATGCAATATCTAGATAATCCAGTAATTTTTGAACTCATGCTGGGCATGTTTCCTTCACCTTCAGGCTGCTTTTGATGCATTGGCAATAGAGAAAGACTTGCTTGAGGAAAGGGTGGCTGCACTATCTCAGGAAGTAGCAGAATTACAGGGACAGACTAACACTGTGTCTGACTTACAGGTAAACTGCTTTTGTTGTGTTTTTAATCAGGTTATCAATTTTGAAATTCCTTGTTACTAGATTGGTGAAAGGCAAACAGGCAGATGGGTGGACGACAAAAAAGATGGTTTCCAGTCAACAACTTTAAGCACAGATTGACTTATCTTAATCAAATTTGTTATATGGGATTGTGTTTGGGCCCCTTAGGCTCAATGTTACTGTTACTAAAAATAGACAAAACAGTTTCCAGCCAATAACTAGATTTAGGAATGAGATATTTTAATTTAACTTGTTGTGTAGCTTTCCTTTTTTATTTACCATATGAAATAAGATGATATATTGTTTTCTAGTTTTGTACATACTGAATGATAAAGTTTAGCATCCAAAGTTCTGGAACTATTACATATTTTCATGCATCATAGTTATTCGTTCTGCAAAATTTATGCAAAAAAGACATCATGATACATATACTATTGTAATCTTTTTATGTCATTCAGAGGGAAGTGGAAAAATTGAAGAAGGATAATTTAGAGTTATGTGCACACATTGAGGAGAGACCAACAGACATATCACATCAACAAGTTCCACAACATGCTCAGGTATGCTTATCAATAACTCAAAATGTTAATATTAGTGAGAATAATAGCTAGTAATTTTTCAGCTTAAGAATTGAAATATCATTTGTATATTTGCATGAAACACTACTCGTATAAAGGCATGTTATTTGACCAACATTTTATCACTTCACCACTATAACATATAAATCACTGTAAATTCATGTATCACTTCTCACTGTATTTCACAGCAAGCTATAAATGAGCTTACTAGAGAAAAATCAGAGCTAGAGGAGAGACTTGTTGATATACAGAATAAATTTGAGGAGGTGGAAGATATGGCAAAGAAATACTCACACCTTCAGGTAAATGAGAAATACAAAAAAAATCTTACTTTAGTTAGTTATCCTATTATTTAGCTATTTTGATACATGATTGATAGCATCATCAAAAATGTTGACTGCTAATGTAGTACATGTAAAAAACATTTGATCATTTCTTGACCAACATTAGATGTATATCAATTGATGTTTTTTTCCCCCAAAATTACTGGCAAGAAACAAATGAGCTGCGTCATGACAAAACCAACATAGTGCGTTTGCGACCAGCATGCATCCGCGCAGTCTGATCAGGATCCATGCTGTTCGCTTACCAACTCTATTACAAGTAGAGAAACTGATAGCGAACAGCATGAATCCTGATCAGACTGCCCGGACGCACAGGCTGGTCTGGATCCATGCTGGTCGCCAAACCCATTACATTGGTTTTGTCTTGACGCGGCTCAGATTGATTTTATGTATTTCAATTAGTAATGTGTTTTAAATAAAAGGGAAATTTATTTTAATTAGTTTGACTATGGTCAGATGACCATCGGTCAGTCAGTGGTAGAAGAAACATTATTGGAGACCCAGGATAAATTAGCTGATACAGAGGCTAAAATGATGCAATGTGAAAGAGAATTAAAGGATGCTCAACGATATAAGGATAAATATAAACTACTACAGGTTATAACATGCACATTGGGCTGGTGTGTGGTGTGAAAACAAAATGTTTTATACGAAAAATTTGATGTTGGGTTACCAAATACTGTATTTTGTAAATAAACTGTTTCACCATTTGTAAATTCAGTATGTAGATGAACTTTTAGTTATTGTTACAATCATATGAATTGGAAACACATTAAGGAAAGAAACCCCACTGTGTCTGGGAGTCTATCTCATAACAAACAGCAGAAAAGCAAATAAATGCAATGCTTTAAATAACTAAGTAAAAATAAATTGCCTGACTCTGTTTGTTTTAAGATTGTTTTTTTTTTTGTAAAAAGAAATTGAGGTGTGTTACACATGGTCTTTTATGTTGTATTGCATGTACATAAGGATTTTGTTAGATTAAAAAGAATATATGTATGTATTCACAAACTTTCAATATAACTAGTTATTGCATTTATTTTGCACAATATGGTTTATATTGTGTGTTTAACTCAAAGTATTTGATTTTATTATGTTTTTTTTTCTTTTTTCTTTTTTAGCTCGACTATTCGATAAGAATAAGTAGAGCTATTGTAGTACCCCGAGCGTCGGCGTCCGCGTCGGCGTCCGCGTCGGCGTAACCACTTATGTTAAAGTTTTTGTAATAGTTTAAATATTATATTTTCAAAGTCCATTGACATACGGCTTTGAAACTTTGCACACTTGTTCACCATCATTACCCCAACCTGTAAACAGGAGGAGATAACTGTATCAAGCATTTTGACAGAATTATGCCCCCTTTTCGACTTACAATTTACGTTAAAGTTTTTGTAATAGTTCAAATATTTTCAAAGTCCATTGACATATGGCTTTGAAACTTTGCACACTTGTTCACCATCATTACCCCAACCTGTAAACAGGAGGAGGTAACTGTATCAAGCATTTTGACAGAATTATGCCCCTTTTTCGACTTAGAATTTACGTTAAAGTTTTTGTAATAGTTCAAATATTTTCAAAGTCCATTGACATATGGCTTTGAAACTTTGCACACTTGTTCACCATCATGACCCCAACCTGTAGACAGGAGGAGGTAACTCTATCAAGCATTTTGACAGAATTATGCCTTTTTCGACTTAGAATTTATGTTAAAGTTTTTGTAATACCTTAAATATTTTCCAAGTCCATTGACATATGGCTTTGAAACTTTGCACACTTGTTCACCATCATGACCCCAACTTGTAGACAGGAGGAGGTAACTCTATCAAGCATTTTGACAGAATTATGCCCCTTTTTTGACTTAGAATTTATGTTAAAGTTTTTGTAATACCTCAAATATTTTCAAAGTTCATTGACATATGGCTTTTAAACTTTGCACACTTGTTTACCATCATTACCCCAACCTGTAAACAGGAGGAGGTAACTGTATTAAGCATTTTTTTTACTATCAAGCACTAAGAATAGTCGAGCGTTGCTGTCCTACCGACAGCTCTTGTTTTTTTTAAAAAGGATTCTTTGTTATAAATATTTGATATAGCACTTGTAAATCTTCCATGGAACATACTTGTCCTATTCTTGTATTTTAAGTGAAAAAGATTTTGCAAAATTTCATCAAATGGAAGTTTACTTATTGTCTCTACAGACAATAGTCATAGGGTCAAGAAAGCAAATATTTTATGCAATGGATGCCATCTTTTAATACAAGGCCTGTAGTCTTGATATTTGTTATTTACAGAAGAAGTATGAGGATGTTTGTAAAGAGAGGGATAAGGTATCACACCTAGCCAAGTCATTGAAGGAACAGCTAAATAAAGCAAGTACAGCAGAAAGAGAGGGGCATGAGGATAAGGTATGTTTATATATAGTTTTGCCTGTAGAACTTTTCTGTACTGTATGCTTCAAATTACCTTTTCACTTTTGTGAGTTCAGCTTGATAACAAGGGAACCACATTCTGTTAAGAAATATTTGATATATACCCATGTATAAAATATTAAATTATTTTCGTCTATGGGAATTAAAATGCATTTTATTAGTCCTCTACCGGTTTAACCAGAGGGGACTTTAGGTTTAACCTCCATCTGTCTGTCTTTCTGTCCACTCTCACGGGACAGTAATAATGTGGCTAGAGGGACAATAGGTAACTGTTCTTTCTCTTTGATGTCAGTCATTCCGTAATGCTTTTATGTGGCTTTTTTCTTTTAAGTGGCTAAAAAGAACAATAGAGAGAATAATAGAGTAGCCACATTATTACTGTCCTGTTAGAACGGACGTCCGTCCGTCCTCAAAATTGGATCCCATGATAACGCAAAAAGTACTGAAAATATTTATTTGAAACTTGATATATGGATAGATGGCAGTATTGAGATTATGCACATCTTTTTCTTTTCTTCCTATGTTGAAAACTTTGGTTGCTATGGCATCAAATAGACTGAAAATATGGCTAATTTAACACAAACTGGATCCAGTGATAGCGCAAAAAGTACTGAAAATATTTTTATAAATCTTAAAACATTGGTAGATGACATTCTAGAGATTATGCACGTAATTTGCTTTTCTTTCTATGTTGAAAAGTTTGGTTGCTATGGCAACAAATAGACTTTAAATATGGCAAATATAACAATATTTGTCATTATTCAAAAAGTAGTGAAAACATTTTCATGAAACTTAAAATATTTGTTTCTGATCATCAACCTCATCATATGTGACAAGGTTTACAACTCCAGCACAGATATTTTAAGCATTACCCCCTTAAACTTAGAATTTACTTTAAAAAAATGATTTTTTTTTATTACTTCTTTATTTCCGAATGTATCCACTATAAACTTCATATATATATGTGTCTATTATTACTCAAGTCATTTGGGAGAAGGTTCAATACTCTAGCTTGACTATTTCCAGAATTATGTCTCCCTTGAACTTCTAGAAATTATTATATTTTACTGAAACTTCTTCATTTCTTATAGCATTTCGTTTAAACTCCCACTTCATAATAATATGACAAGGGTTATATATCTAACGTCCATATTTCCAGAATTATCTCCTCCTTAAACTTTGAATTTTTCTTACTCATTCTTTAACTTTCTTATTTCCCCATGGATTTACTTCAAATTTAAATAAAGATATTTGTTATCAAGACCTACTTCATATGTGATTAGATTTATTTTTAAGGCATAGGTTTCCATGATTATTTTCATTTCAACTTGAAATTTACTTGAATCTTTCTTTTAATTTTCTTCTTTGTAACAATTATTGGTATATTTGAATTTTTTTTCACTTTTCTTCTTTGTGACTATAAATGGTATTTTTAAACTTTTGATATTTGTCTTTGTTACACTCACATCATGTATGACAATGTTCATAAGTCTAGCATCTTTATTTCAAGAGTTACCTCCTCTTGGTTTTGCTTTTAAAAATGTTATTTTCTGGTAACAACCAGGGATGTTTAAAGATTTACCCTCAGAGTCTCTGTCAGTTGGTCTGTCTGTTTGTTTCTAAAATCTGTTTCCTGAGATCACTTTTAAAGACATTGGAACTTTTCCAACATATTTACTTAAATGGAACATCAGTTATACATACATGTATTCATCCTGAGAAAATTGGATCTTTTGATTATCTGTTCTATAAACATTATTTGTGAAACTTAATACATTACTTTGATACAAACTAAGAACGCAAAAGATTTAAGTTTATTAATGTCATTCATTCATTCAATGACATAATTCAATGACTAATGGCCGTTTAGAATGTTGCTGGGGGTTCTAACCGGTAGGGGACTTATGGATTGCTTGCAATACTATGATAATTGCTTGTTGCGTCTACTTCCTCATCTAGGACAAAACTATTTTAAAGAAAAAGTTTTCAATATTAAAATTTGCAAAATGTTTTTATGTGTGTAAGAAGGGGTTTCATCACCTTAAAAGTATTATTGCTTTACGAAAATAATTGGTTTTACAAGGTGGCCTAAAAGAATGTACAAGGGACATCCTAAGGGTCCTTAACCAAAAGAAAAACTTGAAATTCTCTTTAATTAAACACATATTTATGAGAGAAAAAAGGTTTGTTAACAATAAACATCAAGTGTGTATATTACTCTTGTAGGGTAAACTAACTTCTGTACTTGATGAGAAGAAACAATTAGAGATACAACTTCAGAAAATCAGTGACAAGGTTTGTTCACTCAACAAAACAAATGCTTTAGATGTATAAATATAAATGTCATATTGATATACCTTAATGACAATGTAAATTAAGATGGATGAAGTTTTCCTTTCCTGAATAGTGAAATCAGTCTTGCATGACAGCAAAATAAAAAAGGCATACCATACATAATTGTAGTTTTCATTAAATAAATGAATGGCAATTTTATGCATGAAAAAATTTGTTTTTACTGCTATTATTTATTTATTTTTATTTTTTTTGATCTTTTGATTTATCAAAGTGACCTTTTGACTCTGACTCTTTCCACACATTTTGGAAGATGATAGATTAGAAATAAACAGTTTACTTTTAACATGTATTTCAGCTTTTAGAAGCAACAACAAATTTCTCTGTTAGTCAGTCACAACATATCCGTGAGTTACAACAATGGAAGGAACAATGTAGCAACATGGTAGATCTACAGAAATTTACCAAGTTACAGATTGATCTTGTTGACAACCAGAGATCTCTTAGAGATCTACAGGAACTACTCAAAACTAAAGAGGAAACATTAACTAAAGTTTTTAAAGGTATACAATTTTTGTGTGCTTGATGACAGGTAATTAGCACAAATAAATGTATGCTATTGCACTTCTAAACCAACAAAATATAGAATAAAAGTTTTGTGGGAAATTAACAGTGACTAGAAATTTGCAAGAGTGATAGGACAAGAAAACCATTTCTATAAGTTATTTTTAAGTTGGCAAATGACACTCAATTACTTTAAATTATCATGAAGCTTAAATGTAATTTAAACAGTACCTGTTTGTAAAGGATTGCTGGGGAGGATATATGTTAAAGCTTTTACTAGATTTATTTATACGTACATGTATATCCATCCTTATCAAAGGTTTGGATACCACTTTTAGCAGTAGGTTAACATTCATTTCTTCATTAATGAATAACAAACAAAGACTTCATTTTAAAATGAATGAATATGGTGTAAGTATGATGTTGCAGTTTTGATTAGTTTAGATGATAAGTTTATAGTGGCTTGCAGCGTGTGACCTTAGGTGTTTTAAATGATGTTATTATTTCAGAGACAAGTGATAAACACTTTGAGGAGGTGAATAGTTTGGAGGAACAGAGAGAATCTCTTATGAATAAACTGACAACACTACAGCAGATACTTGATGGTCAGATAGACAAGTTTAAACAGCAGGTAATTTGTCATTAGTTTTTAGAAAAAAAAACCTTATATAAGTTAAATATTCTGATTTACAAATATTTTCGTGATTTTTACAAGAGTCTTTATAGTATGAGGTTATTATACATTTTTGAGTACAATACTGAATTCTGTGATAGGTTTTGTAGCTATGTTTGAGTCCAATAGAATCACAATTGTTCTCAACAATGTATAATGACTTATTTTTTCCACGCCACCAATTTTTTTTTTACATTTTGAGGGGACTTTCTTACATGAAGTACAAATAGTTGTTTTATCATCAAGTCTGATTTGATATGGATATTTTGGACTCGGCAAATGAAAACAAAAGTAGAAAGAGTACAATAATTGTGATTTGATACAGAATTTTGAACTGGCAGAACGAAAACAAGTCTAAATTCATAAGACTAATTCATGATTGGAGACACATGGTACAAACGCGGAAAGATCATGAATATATTATAATTAATAAGTCTGAAATAAAGCAATATTTGTTATTGTAGTATGAGGCGAGTGAGAAGAGGAACGCTCTAGTTGTAGATCTATACAAGGAGAATGCTGACCTCATAGATGAACTGTCACGTGTCGAGCTACAGAAGAAAGATGCTGTGTCACGCTGCTACAAACTTGAAGACCAGTGTAATCATCTACGGAGAATGCTCAAGAAAATGGCAAAAGTTGCAATCACGTGATAAATATGATAGAACTATGCAGCAATTTCGCCCTTGTGTTCATATATAACATTTATACAGAGTACATGAAAAAAACCTTCATTTACTTGTACATGTATATGTTATAGAGACTGTCAGCATTGATGTGTTTGATAGAATATAGAACTGTTTCTTGATCTTTTAAGCGTTTTTGTGAGTTTGTGGGGTTTTATTGGGAGGTTTGCAGTGAATATTTAAGGTGATTTTTACATATACGCACTTCAATCTTGTTCTCAGATTCTTAAGATGAAAGAAAATTGGGAAAAGTTAGGTATAGTGCAATCAAGTGTGACAGGCAAAAGGAATACTATTGCTTTAACATTACTTATCTGTAGCATGTTTTTAGAAGCTTAATCTATACATTTATTCTCAGATGAATTTAAGTCGTGTCAATCATGTGTTAGATGTTTTATATTTATATATTTATTTGTCTGTGATACTTGTACATATCATAATTTATTAGATATTAAAAGGTTACCAGCACTTGATATTGCATTGTATTTTATTTTATGGTTAGACTTGAATTATTTACTCCTGAAGTTTTTCATCTGTAAGAACCTAAAAAATTTAGTTAATCAAAGAACAATGCTAATGAACATGCAGAAGGTGTTTTGATATACACTTAAGATATGAGCCGCGTCATGACAAAACCAACACAGTGCGTTTGCGACCAGCATGGATCCAGATCCGCGCAGTCTGATCAGGATCCATGTTGTTCGCTATCAGTTTCTTTACTTGCAATAGGGTTGGTAAGCGAACATCATGGATTCTGATCAGACTGGATCCATGCTGGTTGCAAACGCACTATGTTGGTTTTGTCGTGACGCGGCTCATATATTGATATGAGATCAGCAACTAACACATATTAGAAACGATGTTATTGTAATGCACACATGAATGCTAGAAGTTACAGCATTGTTTTACTTTAGACAAAGTTTGATCAAATAATCGACACTACAGAAGTTCTAAGTATAGTGACTACTAATTGGGGAAAGAATATGGCAAACATAGAAAAATAACTTGATTTTATGACACAAAGGTAAAAAAATTTGTAAGTTAAGAGTTATTTACTGGGGAGGAAGTGATGGGGGTACAAACAATGTGCAATTTAATTAAGTGCTAAAGAATCCACTAATGTAGCGGCAAAATGAAAGGCTTTAGTTAGAAAATGACTTGATAAAAAATTTTGTTCAGTACTCCCATAGGATATCAGTTACAGAGTAATTATATACTTTAGAATAGAATATTTCCTTCATGACATCACGTCTATCTTTTATGATAATAGCATTAGCTGAACGAAATAAAAACTGATAAAACATATCTACACATCGTTTTATAAACAAATAGCTATGGCATTGAAATGATAAAAAGCTTAAATGAATATAGAATGCAATTTGTGGTAATTAGATAATCTTTTATCTTGAAATTAAATATGGCAAGTAAATTGAAGGTCCAAGAGATAACAAAATGGAAAATACTTAAATTATTAATTTCATTACTTGCTAGTATTAATACCTTTTTAGCTCACCTGTCACAAAGTGACAGGGTGAGCTTTTGTGATCGCTTTTCGTCCGGCGTCCGTCCGTCCGTAAACTTTTACTTTAAATGGCATCTCCTCATAAACCACTAAGCCAATTTCATCCAAACTTCACAGGAATGTTCCTTTGGTGGTCACCTTTAAAAATTGTTCAATGAATTTAATTCCATGCAGAACTCTGGTTGCCATGGCAACCGAAAGAAAAAACTTTAAATATCTTCTTTTAAAAAACCGTAAGAGCTAGAGCTTAGATATTTGGCACGAAACATCTTCTAGTGAGTGAGTGTCTACCAAGTTTGTTCAAATAAAAGCCCTGGGGTCAAAATTGGCCCCGCCCCGGGGGGTCATTGATTTTCCCTATATACATATAGTAAAAACTTAAAAAATCTTCTTTTAAAGAACAAAAGGAGCTACAGCTAAGATATTTAGCATGAAACATGTTCTAATGGCTGTCTACCAAGTTTGTTCAAATAAAAGCCCTGGGGTCAAAATTAGCCCCGCCCCGGGGGTCATTGATTTTCCCTATATGCATATAGTAAAAACTTAAAAAATCTTCTTTTAAAGAACCCAAAGAGCTATGGCTAAGATATTTAGCATCAAACATTTTCTAATAGATGTCTACCAAGTTTGTTCAAATAAAAGGCCTGGGGTCTAAATTGGCCCCGCCCCAGGGGGTCATTGATTTTCCCTATATGCATATAGTAAAAACTTAAAAAATCTTCTTTTAAAGAACCAAAAGAGTTAAAGCTAAGATATTTAGCATGAAACATGTTCTAATAAGTGTCTACCAAGTTTGTTCAAATAAAAGCCCTTGGGGTCAAAATTGGCCCCGTCCCGGGGGGTCATTGATTTTCCCTATATACATATAGTAAAAACGTAAAAAATCTTCTTTTAAAAAACCATAAGAGCTAGAGCTTAGATATTTAGCATGAAACATTTTCTAGTGAGTGTCTACCAAATTTGTTCAAATAAAAGCCCTGGGGTTAAAATTGGCCCCGCCCCGGGGGGTCATTGATTTTCCCTATATGCATATAGTAAAAACTTGAAAAATCTTCTTTTAAAGAACCAAAAGAGCTAGAGCTAAAGATTTTTAGCATGAAACATGTTCTAATAAGTGTCTACCAAGTTTGTTCAAATAAAAGCCCTGGGGTCAAAATTGGCCTCGCCCCGGTCAAAATTGGCCTCGCCCCGGGGGGTGATTGATTTTCCCTATATGCATATAGTAAAAACTTAAGAAATCTTCTTTTAAAGAACCAAAAGAGCTATAGCTAAGATATTTAGCATGAAACATGTTCTAATGGGTGTCTACCAAGTTTTATTCAAATAAAAGCCCTGGGGTCAAAATTGGCCCCGCCCCGGGGGGTCATTGATTTTCCCTATATGCATATAGTAAAAACTTAAAAAATCTTCTTTTAAAGAACTGAAAGAGCTATGGCTAAGATATTGAGCATCAAACATGTTCTAATATGTGTCTACCAAGTTTGTTCAAATAAAAGCCCTGGGGTCAAAATTGGCCCCATACCAGGGGGTCATTGATTTTCCCTATATGCATATACTAAAAACTTAAAAAATCTTCTTTTAAAGAACCAAAAGAGTTAAAGCTAAGATATTTAGCATGAAACATGTTCTAATAAGTGTCTACCAAGTTTGTTCAAATAAAAGCCCTGGGGTCAAAATTGGGCCCGCCCCGGGGGATCATTGATTTTCCCTATATGCATTATAGTAAAAACTTCTTTTAAAGAACTCAAAGAGCTATGGCTAAGATATTTAGCATCAAACATGTTCTAATAGGTGTCTACCAAGTTTGTTCAAATAAAAGCCCTGGGGTCAAAATTGGCACCGCCCCGGGGGTTCATTGATTTTCCTTATATGTGTATAGCAAAAACTTAAAAAATCTTCTTTGAAAAAACCCAAATAGCTAGAGTTAAGATATTAAGCATGAAACATCTTTTAGTGAGTGTCTACAAAGTTTGTTCAAATAAAAGACCTGGAGTCAAAATTGGCCCCGCCCCAGGGGTCATTGATTTTCTTTATATGTGTATAGCAAAAACTTAAAAATCTTCTTTGAAAAAACCCAAATAGCTAGAGTTTAGATATTAAGCATGAAACATCTTTAAGTAAATATCTACAAAGTTTGTTCAAATAAAAGCCTGGCCCTGCCCCAGGGGTGTCATTGTTTTTAACTATATGAGTATAGTAAAAACTAAAAAAATCTTCTTTTAAAAAACCCAATGAGCTAGAACTTAGATGTTTAGCATGAAACATGTTCTTATGGGTGTCACCGAGTTGGCCCTGCAACGTTGGGGGTGGGTGGGGGTTGGGGGCCTATATACAGGTGAGCGACCTCAGGGCCATCATGGCCCTCTTGTCTATTGGCTTACTGGAAACTTAATAAATTAACAGAAACAATGAATACTATCATGAAATGGAAAATATTCCTAATCTTATATCAACTAGCATAAAATTGAAAACTTCTTTTCAAATATTTAATAGAACATAAGCATCTATATAGTACTTGTACAATAATTGCATAAGATCTCTCACAGTGCAAATTAATTAAATTGTTGAGAGCAAAAAACCGAACCCGATTTGAGAGGCAATTTACTAGGAACAGCTCACAACTACTATTTTTTTTTAATTTAAGATAATCTTTGTTGCACAAGCTGATACGTGGCTTACCCAACGTATATGTTATTAGACATCTGAAGTAATTATTTAACGTTTAATTGTCTGTTTTGATCATTTGTCTCAAACAAAAGCAATTATATATTTAATTAAATGTTACATTCTCCACTTCAGGAGGGCTATCAAATAAAGTTGGATTATTTAATTCCTGGTTTATATATATATTTAATTTAGATTACAGATTTTGACTACATATTTCTGGCATATTTTTTGCAAAATGATAATTGCTAATATCAATGCTAATTGGCTGCTGACATCGTTACACGGGTGTACATCAATATGCATGATATTCTTTGTGACGTAATTGCATAAGTAAAATATTTTATACCTGATAGATGATTGTCATTGGATATAATTCTATAATATATTTCCAAGACATGTCACAAGGAGCAAGTGTGCTAGAATATAAATAAACAAGATTTCTCATTTTATTTACTGCCAGTTTGATAATGTAACTATTAGCTGCAGTATGTGACTGCAAATATTCACTGTGACTGCAACTATTCACTATAATATTTATGAGACAGTTTAAACTAGTCATTATTTGTGATATTATGTTCAGAGAACTACTTTTTTGAACAATAGTTTATTTGCAGAGCCAGATTTTTCAAAGATATGAATGAACACGATATGTTATTCATTTCATACGTAATTTATTCTATATCATTTACTTTCTGATATAGGAAAATAGTACTTAACGGATACTTTACAAGTGTGTACAAACGACGTACTTACGACTATAAAGGGACAATGATAATAACGATTGTAAATATGTTTCTTCTTGGTGTTTACGGATTTATCACAGTAACCCAGTGTTTAACTGTCTGGATTGTGTTTAAATGCAAACGTATTCCATTCAAAATAAAATGTACGAACATAAGCTTTCTGGTCAGTGACATGGCTATATCTTTTGCCATAGCTCTCAGTCAGACTTCAATTCTAGCCTTTTCGACAGACGACATTATATTACATGTTACACGGATAACGGCTGTAAGGACATGCCAAACGGTTTCATGGGCTACTTTAGCTCACGTGTCTGCCGATCGAGCTGTATCTGTTATAACACCATTTCGTTATAATTATTTGTTAACGGACAAACATGTTAAAATATGGACATTTCTGGACTGGACAATTCCTTCAATTGTTACTGTGCTAGCATGGATTTACACGATCTTATTTGTAGACAAACCTTGCAGTTCTGAAAAACATTTTATTACATGCACACATGTAGTGCGATTCTTACACTTCGTTCTTTCTTCTATGTAC